TATGCAAACAGTATTTTAATAATCTAACAGCGGATAAAGAAATCTTAGGTACCTCCCCAAACCGGCGATAGGTACTTAAACACTACCGTAGAATTCAATTCGGATATAAAAAGTAGATACCTAGCTGATTAGATAACAAACTGTGAACGTACTGTACTATGGAACTTTGATATTTTTTACCTACTTCAAAAAAGAAGGCAGTAAGTTTGATGTCTATCCTAATATTTTTTATGTTGTCGACAGATATTTCTCCTAAATTACCTACTAGACTGAATTCTATAATCCTTTAACTGAAAATCGGTTTTGTGTAGAAATTGTTATTTCAGTAGATATAATGTAAAAGTAGTGAATCCTAATGGGATTAAATGATTTTTTATGTTAAAACTTTTACAAACAACACAATAAAGCATAAGATTGCCAATCAGTCAATCTTTCTTCAAAGGAACCAAACCATAGAGAACTTTTTTATATCCTGTTGTTTCTGAGACGTTTATTTAAAGAGTAAAAAATAGAATTCTAAACAACATATAATAATAATAAATCTTTATTTACCATTCACAAGAAATACTTTACAGTGCATAGCTTTTTAGAGTTTTTACCTAAAAATATTAATTCTCGTGAGAGTCTGGAATCTGAACTAGGTCGAAACCTGTACTACAAATCTCCAGGCTCTCTCCGGAGTCTTAGATTACATTATTGTGTATCTACATTATTATATCAATACAGTTATTGTAAAGTATTTTTGGTATTTTTATTTTAAAAACAAATGTGTGAAGCATGTTTTGAGTGTAGTGTTATTTTGTATTCTTTCTGTGTACCTTTCTCTAAGTAGTGAGTGGCAATGGCGGTAATATATATAAAATACGTGTATATGGCTGTAAAAGCTACATAAGCAACATATCCCGTTTGACTAACCTTCGCTATTAGTATTTTCTACTCTACTAGCCTGCTCTTGTCAATTTGGAAATAGCGAAGAATAAAAATTTTTAATCAAAACATGTTTTTGATAGTGGTAACCCGTACCCATATAGAATATTTGCTATTTATTCGAATAAAATATAATTAAATATGCTAAATTTATAATGGAAATGCCATAATTAAATGAAACTGGATTTACTTATAATTTTGTAAATTATGAATAAATTATTTGTATACAGGTTACGACCTGAAACCTGAAATGCATTGCTGGAAGTTAGTAGATGCAGGTGGCGCAGGATCGTTCTTTATTGTATTCTATGGGAGAGGCTTATGTCTAACAGTGGACGAATAATAATTGAAATGATGATGATGACGTTGGTGGTGATGATGATGATACAGGTTTAGTCGTGGATGTGCTAGGCCAACACAGTGATAGTAGGTATTCGTAAAATTTGCCAACTTGTCTTTAGTACAAGTCATATCTTTTTTAAATCTTAAACTAAATCGTTTATATCACCGGATAGTTTGTACAAAAAATATACTCTTTGGGCAAATTTTTCAGTTATGGGAATTCTATCATTGAGTTGGTTTAGTACACCTTTTGAATTAGCTTTAAATATACCTAAGTATTATCGCCGCTATATAAGGAGTTTCAATCTTCAGAAATACAACGAGGAAAGAGTGGAAATTACCATTGTAATATAAATTTAGACATGTCACATAAAACTTACTTTAATTATTAGAATCTCCAGAGTCAAGTAGATAAGTACTAAGTAGGTATCTTTAGGAGTTATAGAAAGTCTAGAGGAGAAGAAAATGTACGAAAAGAAAATTATATAATAAAAGAGCAATGTAAACATAAAACTTTGAACTTAGTGTAATTTATATTAAAAAAAATTTCACTTATATATTTTGGTTATATTCAGAGGTAATTATATAAAAGCAATGTACACATAAAACTTTGAACTTAGTATAATTTATATTTAAACATTTTTAAACTTATTTATTTTGGTCTGGTACTGCCCTTTTACATAAATGCTGTAGTTGAACTATAACTGCCGTGAACCACGCACATAAATAAGGGCTCCCATTAAATACGAAACTAGTCGGACCACCCTGAATTTAAAACGCGATATAAATAATTATCTACAATAAATGCTGTAATAATAAAAAATTATAACTTAAAATTTTTTTTCAATCAAGCACCCTTAAATTAACTGCCTTACATACTATACGCTTGTTTGTAGTCTATATCTATGGCCATTATAGGCTATAGGTATAGCAAGTATATCTCCTGAGAAATCTGGCGAGAGGGAATAGTAGATAGATACGTATATTTTCTTGACTGTTTATCGAAATTTAAACTGTTCTTAATAATTGTTCATTGTCAGTCGGAGATCTAATGAAGCGAAAACTCAACTAGTAAGAGCAATGACTCTGACTCTAGCATGACGTAAAAGGTACAAGCTGAAATTACGCCAGCTTTAAAAAAATTTAAGCTATTAATAATTATTGAAATATATTAATATGAGCTATGGAAATTTGCTTTAACTATATCACTTAATTACCTGTTAGGTGGTTCACAATTAAGAGTACAGTTAATATTACTATAAGCACAGGAATATAGATTTAAAATCAACACGTTCGATCGCAACGTGTCAGTAGCCAGGTCACGTCACTGGTTATAGCAAGAACAGAGTGTCCAATGCGTTACAACACGCCGTATTGAAGTGTTATTCAGAATATGTGAACATAGCACACGTGGGAACAACAACTTTGTAGAGTCGCCAATGTTTTGTAGTATAAAGATATTTTTTATTTGTCTCGGAAAGAGAAATAAGCCGAGAACTTGCCTAATGGAAAATGGTAACCGTCAGCCATAGGGGGGAAGGGATTGTTAGTAATGGGTAGGTAACAGTTACATTGCTAGCAATATACCCTATCTGATCGAACTCCACGCCGTTCCCTCTGGAAACCATCTTGGTTAATTCTTGTGGAATTCATCACTATGGGCTAACTGAACTGCTTTGATCCTCACCTGTCATCCTTTAGTGGTGCCCCGCTAGCGTAAACCGATAGCGCAGGCGGGGTTACTATTTCATTTTCTCCTGTTAAACAATCCGTCAGCTATAAACTTACCTAAAATAGTAACCAACATTACAATAAAGTATTAATTGTACAATAAATAATATGACGTCATGCCTGTGTACTTATAATTTCATTATCATATATCACCGTTTAAATCGAAAGACTGCTGTGCAAGTATAGTTACAGGGTAGCAAAAAAAACAAGTGAGGTAAAGTGAATTTATAACAATACAAAGTCTAGGAGACTTTTTATTGACTGCTACTTCGATATGTTTTTGTTTATTAGAAACTTACAGGTAAATCTGATTATTTTAGGTTCTGTACCAGATGTTACTGTCTATAAAAAATATACTATATAAGTATTGTAATAAAAAATAATAAATGATATATATATATCACCGCTGCCCAAGGCGCTTTTAATGTTATTATTCCGAAAAGGTATTTACCAGTTTTCTTTTTAGATACATACAATTCATAATAAAATTTCATATCTGGACCTTGCATAGAATCTTTCTTTCCCGTTGGTGTCGTCTGGTAGTGTAGCATCGTCCCTATCTCTTAAAATATTACTAAAGCATAACTGCGGTGCCAATTCGTCTGCCAAACGTGTCAACTACTGGGAAAACCCCCAATAAGGGGAGGCCTATATTCAGCAGTGGACAGTCAACGGCTGATATGAATGGAGTGTTGTGTGGTCCCAGCATAGAATGGGCCACCACTTTCTTTCCCATGGGTGTCGTAGGAGGCGACTAAGGGAGCTTAATAATCGAGGGATAAGCAGCAGCGTCTCTTTAATCATCTACAAAGCCTAACGGTGGTTGCCAATCCGCCTGTTAAGCGTGATACCAGAGGGAGACTTTGTACAGAAGTCGTTTGCTTGGGTACCTCTGTCCCATTCATGTTTCAACCGTGAAGCAGTTGTATTTGCATGGCTGTGTTTTGGTTTGAAGGGTGGGATATGGCGTGAATTTACTGGGTACAGAGGAATAACACCTGAGTCCTCAGGAATGGCAACGCATGGGAGGTGTCATGGGCGAAACAGTATACTCTGTTATGTCCATGGTACTGCTCATGTCTATAGGCGACGGTTACCACTTTACATCAGGTGGACCGTCAGCTTGTTTGGCATTCTAAGTTGTATAGAAAAAAAATAACTACTGGCAAAACCCCGGAACAGGTGGAGGCCCATGTTTAGCAATGGACAGTTAATGGTTGATAATGAATGGATGGTGCTTATTAAAATAAAAAAAAAAAACTACCATATTCTCCACGGATTCGTAAGGCGGAGTCCTTACGGTACGAGCGGATTTGTTTTATGCCCACCGAAGACTCCGACTTACCGCGACCGTCCGCCCGAGGCGTTCTTAATTTTATTACGGGACTGCTCTCCCAGAGGAAACCTCCTAATTGTGTCTAAGGAAAAACCGACGTGAAACAGAAATACCAATTTTGTTTCGCCATCCCCGGTGCGCTCGTTCGATGGACGCCTTATGAGATGTCGAGTCTGACGATAGGTATATTAGGTTTTATATAGGTATTTTTATTGCCAGGAAGACAAACGAACCGACGGTCCACCAAAAAGACAATGGATACTAGGGTCAATGGTGAGGCGCCATTTTGTCTAAATATATATTTAAAATTATAATTTCTATTTGATATCACACTGAAATCTTTATTGTGAGGACCAATAATAACTTATATTCTAATAGATTTACTGTACAGACAATTCGCCTGTGAAATTCACTAACTGCCTCTATTCGCTAGCTATCTCTCGCTAGTTTCCTACTATCTCTCCCTTTAAATACTATTTTCTTGTATTCTCTCTTCATCTTTCTCTTTCATTCGCTCTTGTTCAATATGAGGTATTAAGTATGTGTATGTTTATGTATATATTTTTTTATATGTATGTATATATGTGTATTATATGTGTATTATTTATATATATAAAGGTTGTCTGGAAGAGATTGGTTGGCGATAAAATAAAATGTAAATAAATAAAAATAAGTCAAATTTATTGCAATTTTAATTTATGATAACCCAAGAAACTTAAAAAATTAAAATATGAGGTTAAAAAATAGGTTTGGAAAAATGCACCTCAGGATGACAATTGAATGGCAATCCCGCTTACGCTACGTATACCGGCCATCATGATGAATTCAGCAGGAATTAACCACGATTTTTTGCAAGTAGAGATCAACCTGATAAGATATATTACTAGCAATCGGGCCCGCTGTCATCCATGAACACTTGCAGTACGTGAGGGGTTGCTGTTACAGTGAATTTGTCTTGCTAGCTTACTATGCATTTTCCTGAAAGGTTTTCAAATCACTATAATCTATTTTAATAGAACTTAATGAAAATATACAGAACAATCAATGCCAAGTATAAATAAAAGATCGATTAATTGATCGAATATTCTGATTTGTCATTAATTTCATTTAGAAGTGTTTATGTGATAATTTCAACAAAACTTAAATATTTTTTTATCAATTTTTATTCCAATGAATTACAACTATGTGCATAACATAATGAGTGTACAATGCGGTTTTTTAGAATCCTATTTCGTATGTGTAGTTCGTTACCGGAATAAGGAAAATGTTTAAAAGGTTACTTTCTACAGTAGTTTCTTAGTACATTGAGACTTGTAAATAATTCAAGTTTAGACTAGTACCTGTAGGTATGTTATGAAAATCGTCATAAGAGCACAATGTAAACGAATCTTTGTAAACATTCTTAAATCGATGTTACATCACTAATGCATAAGATTATTTGACTTGAAAGAGCAGTCATAGTATCTTGGACACGGTACTTAATAAAACTGATTCATATTAAACCGTCTTTAATAAATGAAACTATCCAGATCCACCTTTCTTTATCCTCCAACGTAACCTTTGGATTTCTGTCTTCTTGACTTATCCAAATATATCTAGTGCTTTGTTAATAGGGATGTATTATGTTTGTTACTGTTGTGGTTAAAATCTCTTGATTTTGCCATATTTTGAACCGAATATTTAAGAACGTGATAGTTGAGATAAAGACAATTCTATCCTCAATAGATAGATGAAGAATAACACAATTTAAGTAACTGTTCATTATAAGTACTAATAACTTAAAAAAATAAAACTTTATTGATTGCTACTAGTTAAGACTATTTTGACTTGCAAATAGATATCTACCAATAATCAAATATTAGAATGGAAGTGGCAAGAAATAGGAGTGAGAATAAAATCAATTAGTATATGGTGACGTACTAACGACACTTTAAACTAGCCCTTTATTTATGAGGTATGGTGTTTTCAAATTCATTTAGAAATATTTTTTGTTAGTGGAAATTTAAAGTAAATATAACTACTGCTATCTGTTGTTAAAAAGCTATATTAAAACTATGTCCTTAAACTGCCATCTATTGTCAAGTAGTTAAACTAAAATATATGAAAGGTACTCTATGGCCGATGAACTATAAACTATTAAATGAAAAAAAAACACGAATTCCTATCTAAAAAATAAATAATAATATTTAATAAATCAATATCACAATTGTTATCAATTAATTTAAGTATAAAAAATTTTACTCGTCTCAAATTATCGAATTGTCAATAACTGACATACAAACGACAGCAATGTGTTAATCTATGCCCTTATTAGTCATTTTCGTTATTTTTATGCTGTGGTCTTGTGTCATTCGAAGTTTCGTTACGAAGTTTCGAACGAACAGTCGTGACTTGACACTTGTTTAAGAATCGATACGCAATAAATTTCAAACAAAGTGAAATTGTCGGGTATTTGTTTAGTCTTTTAATCGCGGAGACTGGATTCGGACCGAAGAAGATAAATTGTGAACTGTAAAAATGACAAACACTTTAGCTGTTTGTCTAATTTCTATCACGCTCTTTTGTTGTACAGGTATGTCTTGTTGCATGTTGTCAACAAACATTTTTAATTACGTCCTTGTATTGTTTCTTTAATAAGATTTCGTGTATTGGAAACCATTAAATACATTTGTATTCGCTTCTCATTAGCCATCTGGAACAATCGACACCGGTGTTGTTTAGATGTTGAAATAATTCAATTTAAGTAATCTTGTAAGTAGATGGACGATCTGTTTAATTTGCTTGATCATTATCGCATTACCTAGTAATACTAGAAAAACACGTAGGTAAAATAGAATACTAAGGTGGGGCGAGTACTAATGGCCCCATTGCTCAGAATATAGTCCCATGTTAACTATTGTGGTCAATTCCTATTTAATTCTTCACGAGCCCATCTGACCAGACTTCATTCTCACCTAACATAACTCATTTGTATCCCTGCAGCATCAACCTAAAGCCTAGACGAGATTTTTAGTTTATTCATTAAAAGAAGTGGATATTTTTACACAAAAACAAGCAAATGAACTAAAGTACACTATACCCTTGAAAATTAATATTATATATTTCTATTTTGTAAATAATGTAATTTATATTTATTTTAAAGTGTACATGATGACAATTGATAAAAGTATTGTTAGGTAAAATTGCCATACCTGTAATGGGATATAGCTAAGGCAATGATGATGACATGTATAAAATTAAGAAGTTTTTTAAAGAATTTGACATATTTATATAATAAAAATGCACCTGCCTAATGCTAATATATAAAAAATATCACAATATATTAATCACTTCCCTATACAGGAAAATATATTTGCTTGCATTACTTATCAACAAAATAGACTTAAGTAATTATTCAATATAAATTCTCTTAATTAAATGTGTTTTGTATCCAATCATAGGTACTTTCAAATAAAACAAATAAAAAATATGACTGGCTTTTCAAGTAACAAACTCTATTTTATTTATTAGTTATTATTTTTATTTGTATATTGTTGTACATACATAATTATAATTATTATGAAAATTTATTTTACAATTACATTTTATATTCAACCCATGATAAGAAGTTGTTTGTAACTGTGAGTCACTCACTATTAGGTAGCAGACAACAAATTTATGCTCATATTTCCTGCATGTAAAACAATAAATATGGATCATATTATTATTACAAATTCAATATGGTAAAATATTAATGCTACAACAGTATTCAATCTAATAATTTTAACCGTGATATAATTATTTATATATATTTTATTATACAACTATGTATATATGTATAATATACTTAAATGAAAGGATGACCAACTCTTTGGTTTGTTTTAATTGTGACAATATATGGGCCTATATATAGAATATTTAAACTTATGAAGTGTTCATAACTTTTGCTTACCGAATTGTGTTTACTTTGCAATTATCTATCATTTTTCAATGTTTTATTATTGATCTTTTAAAAAGTGCCCTTCTAGTGAAGTAAAGCGTTAATCATAGAATACATTGTCTTTAATCTATTTTAGTCTATGGGGGAGGTATATATTCAGCAGTGAATGGGTAATGGATGAGATGATGATGATGAATCAAGTTTTTAAACTATCACTAAAAACTTTGCACCTGCTTCATATTTTGCATCAAAATTCATCAAATCTCTTTTTGCCATTAAAATCCAAATTTTCAGTGACTGCTTATTAAGAATATTATTGCATGATTTTTAGCATTTTAATTCACTAGCAGAGAACTTTTTAATAAATCGGAAACATTAAAAATTCTTAAATTGTTTTGGAAAATTGTGACATTGCCACACTTCTGTAAGAATAAGTTTTGAATGTACTTAAATGGAAAAATAACATTTCTTTAGAATGACTAGCTACACATCACAACTTTATTGATATGACCAACTGTGTTTACATTTCTGATGATGTTTACTGATAATATATACTAAAGTCGCAGTCATTACATTGACCTTTCCATATTTACAGTATTCAACACATACTGGCCTCTTTTTTATATTAACAAAGGGGTTAATAAAAGACAGTATGTAAAATTGTTTCATTCAAGTTATTTAATGTAAATATCAATTTATTAGTTTATCTGCTTTTATCCTTAGTGACTGAAATATCTTCACTAAGTAAGATACATTGTCCTTTGTCTTTTTCTATTCCAAATACTATGTAAACCAACTATGTGTACCAAACTTCATAACTTTTTTTAATGGTTAATAATGGAATGGTATCTTCGCTTGTGCTAACGGTATACACTAGTAGGGCACCAGTAAGGGATGATAGCTAAGAATGAAAAGGCAGGTCAGTTAGCTCACCTGGATGGGGGGAAAGGGATTGTTAGTAATGGAGACTGAGAATTCCATTGCTAGCAATATACCCAACCAGGTCGACCTCCTCGCGGTTCTCCCTGGAAACTATCATGGTTAATTCCTAATGAATTCATCATGATGGGCTAACTGGCCTGTTTTCATTCTCATCTTAATAGATGAGAATGAAAACAGGGATACACTGGCGGAGCAACAGTGAAGGGTAATCCCTTCACTGGCCACTCCACCAGCGTATCCCGTTAGCGCAGGCGGGGTTACCATACCATTTTCACCCATCAAAAAAAATACACCTGGAATTCAGCACGATGGTTTCTAGGGGGGACCATGTAACGGTCGACCTGACAGGCTATAATGCTAGCAACGGGACTGGTAGTCCGCATTACTAACAATCCCTTCCCTCAATAATGAATTGATAAAGCGCCCAGATATAACAAATTAACTTACTTTCATAATCATAATATATTATAATAATAAATGTCAGTGGGCATATTACACAACGCCATCTAGTCTCAAACTAAACAAAGCTTTTATTAAGGGTTTTAGTACTTGACTAATAGACTTACTGAATATAATATATATATATATATATATATATATATATATATATATATATATATATATATATATTATCTGTAAACAAATATTACCCATCCATATTTTTCATTGTTACTCATAATTTTGGTTTAAATTTACATATAATAAAAACAAAGTTTTGTTAAAGTCAAGGTTTTAAAGATCATATTGTCTAGTGTTTTTGTCACGGTTTTGTATTATTTCCCTACTTTTAATGTCTGTACATATTTGAAAGTTGAAAAACAATAGAATGAAAGCGTAGCGGTTTTTGTATTAATTGCCGCATGCATTCTTATGTAAAATGTGAATACTATAACTATCAAATGGCAATTGTGAGTAGCTTTGACGTGGTCTAGTGTTTTGAGTAGTCATGCTCACTAAAATGTCCAGACTTGTGGCGGCGTGGTGGGCCGGGTCATTGGGCTCCCTAAAATATGGTCGAGCGCAGTGATGGCTGGCTCATCCGTCATACTCGTGAACGGGTGCTGCTTGTAGGGACTGGTCTGCTCTAATCACTATGACTGATTTCCTCTTATTAATTGTTTAACCAGTTGGTTATGTATTCAATATTTTTTCTTTTTGAGTATTTAATTGAATTAGTGCTAATTGGTGGTTTGTATTCACACACTTAAACTTAAAAATGTAAAGTAATAATAAAATTATTTAAAAGAGCAACACGCAAGTTTCTTGCTCGTTCTTCTTGTGATGAGACAGCTTTCCGAACGAGCTGTAGATTAAAAAAAATGTTATGACTATTCAAAAGTGCTTCAATGTAAGTTTATTTGAATAAATGATTTTCTATTCTATTCTATTCTAATAACCACTATACATAGAAGTTCTTGACATTAACACAAAATAACTAGACTAGCAGACGAACTTTAAATATAAATAAAGTGCGTATTTATTAATAGAAAAAACTAACATAATTTTTATTTCACAGATCTGTCGTTTGCGCGACAAGTATCAAAAGAATGCTCGAAAGGACCTGATTATTGGTGTCAAAGTTTAAGGTAAGTACGAGACTGCATCTCTACATTACTACTAGCACACATGCCCCGGCTTTGCACGGGTAGATAGATAGATGATCTCTATTTTTTTTGGAAACAAAATACAGTCCATGTTAATTACTGATTATGTAGCTTTCTATATGTGATAGAATTTTTTAAATCGGTTACGTATTTTTTTTTTATTTATCCATGCCAAATAATTTTTTTTTCTTTGTATTACTTTTGATAACTATATAATATACCTAACCCAGCAAACATTGTTTCGGTTGTCTTCCTCCGTACGATTACTTACCGGGTTTAATTTATTTATTTATATGGGATCACTAAATAATAATAAGTTACATGTTACTTAAATATTCGTATAAGAAGAAAAAAATATTATACGAAGTAAATATTATATTTCTTTATATAATTTAGACAGTATAAGTTTTGTAAATCGTCGAATATATAAAGTGATTATTAGAAAAGAAAAATGTATGCAGAGAGAATTGTCTATTTTTATTATATAAAAATAGACAATTCTCTCTCTGAATAATGAAAAACAAGGAGCCAAAATGGTAATATCGAAAAGTAATTTTAAAATTATTTCTCAGTCTATATATCAAAACATTTCCAGTCATTATCAACAATAAGTTTTAGGTATATTTGATACATACATAGTAAGTACATATCTAGTTTTGTTATTAGTAGATGGTATACCTACTAATAACAAAGCTATATATGTAACAGTAATAGAATAGCCGTTCGTGGTATCTTCAATATTGTGTAACGCGTGAGTAATAAAGCAAGTAATCCGATTCATCGAAATGGCCGCGAATAGCACAAAGAAAAATACACCCTGTAGAACGGTGACGTAATAATAAATCGGTTATAATTATTATGATAATATTATTTTATCATAATCATTATAATTTATAAAAAATTTTGTATAAAATTTAAATACTAAAAGAAAACTACAATTTAAAATATCTTTGATTTGTTGAAATGAGGCCCAAGGTTCGATTTTCAGTCGAGACAATTTTGGATATAACTTTTCAAAATTTGTTCAAATCTGATTGTTTTTAGGATATGTCTAATGTACCTACAGACGTTTATTCCCTTCCTTATAATACATATTCCAAGTTTGATTATCACGTAGCCAAAATCCTTTTATGAAAAATAACATAAATAATTTAAGAAAAATTGTAATAGACAGCAATAAAAGTTATTAATCTGTGGTTTAAAAAAAACTGTTCCCTCCAAAACTGTCACCAGTGTATAACGTCTACAGTCGGCTTGTTCCTTTTCCAGGGTTGTTTCTTTATAATCTAATACTTCTACACTATCTACACTAATATTATAAAGAGGGAAGATTTTTATTTTTGTGTGTATGTTTATAAAGAATAAACTCTAAAACTACTTTGCCGATTTCAAAAATTCTTTCACCGTTAGAAAGCTACATTCACCCTGAGTAACATAGGCTATATTTATTGCTAGAAAAGATTAGGGATCCTTACTAAAACTTTAGTAACCTAACTCAAGGTGTAAAAATATGCTATAAAATATCTTTCATCTCGTACGTTGCGGAAACTATTGGTAATAGAACAAAAGTGTGTTCTACAATATTGAAGAAAATATCAATAACTACAAAAAACTTCGTGATACTATATGTCCAACTATTATCGTTATGTCACAATAACCACTTTTTAAAATGTTGTAAAAATGTCTACCCATGCGAAGCCGGGACGGGCTGCTAGTATAAAGTAATTGCTACTGTGTGGATATTGCTCTTAATTTAAATTCATCATAAAAATACGTGATTTTAAATAAATTTAGTGAGGTCTACATTATTATTATTACGCATCTCTACTTACGCAATGCTGGCAAATAGCTGGATTATATGCTATGTTCCAATTTTAAAGATAAGTCAATGATTAATATATTTTAATGTTAGTTTTATATCCACGTTATATTGGAATTTGAAACTTAATGACGAGTGCAATTTGAATGATTCGCGCCATCATATGACTCATTATTGATACAGTCGCGCGGCTGACTGCGGCGCCGTGGGACACTGCATCGCCACCGTGTGGGAGACACAGGATGTCGAGATTCACAAGAATGAAATATCCGACAGATTCATCAAACTCTTCAGTGAACTGAAGGACATCAAGGATATGATCAATGAGGTAGACTTAACGGTCAGTGTGTGTTTAATTGGCAAATTCATCGTCATTATTATGGCATGAACTCTTGGACTGATAGGGTGATTCTTTATCTATCATTTTTAAAAAAATAAAGATAAAGATAAATTTATTTGCATAAACATGTGTGTGCAGTACAGATACATACTGGGTATTTTAATGACTTTATGGGCAAAACATGTTCGAACTATCATGTTTTGCCCATATAAGCATGTAAATTATTTGTTGACGAGCTGTAGCTTTACAAAAAATATATTGCAAATTATATAATGTCTATAATAATAAAAAAGAATAATTCAAAAATAAATGTAAAAAGGAATCATTACCTATACTTATTCGTATGTAACAAATAGTACAGCAATTCAAATAAGAATCAAATGGAAATTACATTTTATGTTATTTCGCTAATCCCAATTCTATTGGGAATTCTATTCTACATCAAAATTTACCCTATAGGTCACATCTTCGCCACAATGATTATCGTCTTATTTATCAGCGGTTTTGATGTCATATTTCTATATTGTTATAGTTTGCAAAACACATATTCGTTCCAGATTCGACGATGAATTTTTCAATTTTATTTAATTACTTGGAGTCTAAGCAGGCACGATTGTTTTAGTATTATTAAACAGTAGCTTTTACCCGCGTATTTATTTGTCCATATGTCAGGGATATTGTTACTGATTGAGATAAAAAGCGTATATACTTCTGCATTCCATATAGTACGTGTACATGTACAATTTAGTGTACATCAAGTTACATAGTGATTGGTTAAGGTGCTAAGAGACTAACAAATAAAGTCACTTTCACATTTATAATATTAGTAACAATTTAATATCACGCCCTTAAAAAGAGAAGAGTCAATTATATCAGTGTATCTAACTTCTAATAACATACAAAACTGTTGCTACGGTAGAATGTAGCAATAGTAAGCATAATATGTTAACCAGACTTTCTAAGTGCAATCAAAGCTTTTTTTTTTAATGAAATGAATATTTATTTACCAAAAACACTTTTACATTGACATCGCGACATTGAAAAGCAACTAAGTCGCCAATGTCAATAGCATCGTATTTGCTTAGACGCTTCATTTATTTGTTGTACTCACTTCATTCTATTTTTATTTTCTTAACAAAAATTCATCAACTAAGTTAAAAAACAAACGATACGAATCGAACTTCCTATTTCCAAACTGAGTACATTTCCATTTACGCCACGGAAAAAGGATGTGCCGGTCTCTGGCGTAAATGGAACTCTCATTTGGCTTTTCAATCAATTTTTAACATTATTATATCCAATATAGGCCTCATCTAGTGTTTAAACTAACATGAAAGACGATTGTGGAGTCGATTACAGTAGCACGTGGAGGATATAAAGCTTGAATACTTTAATTATAGTCCAATTAACTGTGCAACTAGAGTCAATACGCTGTTCATTAAAATGTCTAAATCTGGATCGACATTCGTATTATTGTCCTTTTTGTGTCTCATTTTATAAACAATATCGTGAAATAAATATTAATAAATTACTTTTATTCTAACTATGCTTTTATTCTAACTCATCAATAACTAGTGCACCACTAGTATATATCGATAGCATAGACGGGGTTATAATTCCAGTTTCACTTATTAAAACAAACATGTTTTCACTGTACATACAAAATCCAAGCAAAAATCTTTTTTCACCAGGATTACCTAGCAATCCGACTATCATCGACATGCCACGATATCCCGGACCCAACAATCGCCAAGATCTGCAAAGAGAACACGTCTTCCCTACAAAAATATATAATCCATGTTCTCTTATCGGACACCACTCCTTCGACCTTGTGCCAAGTCATCGGAATGTGCAATAACATGAAGATCGACAATACATTGGCTTTGAACGTGAGTAACGATCTCTAGACATATTTAAAAGTATGGTATGTTTCAATAAAACTTAATAAAAATATAAACAAATTAATACTTGACCCGATCGTAGGGCAGTCTGCTGATGCTTAATAGCAGTATCAATAAAATATCCATTAGTTGATCGAATGTTTCTATTTGTTTCCAATTTCATTCAAAATGTATTTTTATTATAATTTCAACAATACTTGGTTACCATTTTATTAATTCGTAGCGACCAAATGTTTACTATAGCAAAAAATAAACTCATTTTGAAGATTAAAAAACCACACACACCTTTTTCTATCTGGAATATCTGAAAAAGAAGGATAACTCGAAATGAAATCCTATACCAAGCCATTTGGCCAGCATAGAAATAGTAGGTTAATATCCTCTTATGACATGGGACCCATGCTTTAGATTATATGGTATTATATCCATCCAGGATATCAAAATTATGTAATTGACTTATTAGTATTTTGTTTTGCAGAAAAAGAAGCCTACTGATCATACGGATAAAAAACATACGGGTAAGCTAATTATTCATTAAATTATTAATTTTAAATCATCTCTATTCAAATATATTTGTTTACAAGGTCTTTTAAATTTTTATATTTTATGAATCTACTGCTGGGCTCAGCAGAAAAACGATATATATATATATATATATATATATATATATATATATATATATATATATATATATATATATATATATATATCGGACTGCTGAGAAGAATCCGCAAAAAATTCATCAGTTTTTTTAAATCTCAGTTAATAAATTTTGTATTTATTTAAATCTACTATGTCTAAAATAACATGGTCGTAAAGCTCTTGCATGACGTGCTAACAATATGCACATTTTTCATTCAAGTATCGTTAGTTTAGTTTTAATATAATGTAAGCTTACAAAACTTTTAACTATTTATATATAAATATCTAGTGTTTTTGTACGCTTACCTTTATAATTAACAATACATTATGTTTGCAGATAAATTACTAGGCAGTTCCCAATGTACCTGGGGACCATCTTACTGGTGTAGCAACTTCAGGTAATGTACTGAAACTTTTATACAAGACATAATATATAATAATTATGAATATTATATTAATACACTATTATTATATTTTATCGAATTAAGGAAAATAGACACAATTTTCCTCATTTTGATATCAACATTTGCTTATTAACTCTCCTATTGTATAGTTTTATTTCACTTTATTGCACACTTTATTTTTCTTTAAAATGTTTTTAAGTAGTAAGTACGGAAAGTTAAAAACATTTAGTCATGTATTCACATATTATGTTTCTTTTGGAAAAATATCTAACCATCTCCCCACCCTCCAAACAGAATGTAACGTTTATTTTTATAAGTAATTTATGTTTATTAATTTAAAATTTTATAAGTCAAATTTACATTAGACTTAAACATACATGGAACATGGATATAAATCAGGAAAATTGAAACGTTTAAAAGCCTTCCAGGAGAGACCCAGGATGGCCTTTCTTCTCCCTAGTTAGTCCCTCACTGTACGCTTAATATCGGTGGTTCCATCACCAGAGAGTTTGAATTTATATTGACATAATATTTTTGGTATTGACCAATTTCAAAATTACGAACTTTGCGGTCTATAATACTGAGTAGTATAACACTGGGCCACAGTTCTCTCTTTCGATTGTACAATTTGATTAGTATTAATCCGGCTGTGTCAACATTTTGTTAGTGCCAACGCAAATCGTTCACAATAATATTTATGTAGGACGCGTCAGGTCACAGAATCGAGTTTAAATTACAAGACATTGTGTCAATACATCCGTACCGTGGTTGATTCCATTTTGCTGCGTATAATTATTGCTTTGTATATTGCACAAGGTATTGTGCAAGCGAAAGATTTTTACATCTACTCAAAATAACAAATAGATGATCTGCAATATAGTTATAAAAAATATAGATACTGAGCCAGAGCAAATTGTAGTTGTTAGTGAAAAGGTGAATGATTTCTTAATATTATCTGTAATATTACATTTTTCTTTACACCACGAAGGTGGCAAACAAGCTTACAGCTCGTCTAAAAGTGAAACATTACTGTAGCCTATGGACGCCTGTAATACTAAGGGTATCATGTGCGTAAAGTAAAAATATATATATATATATATATATATATATATATATATAATGTATATATATGTATATGTTTGGTTGTATGTGTTTATTTATGTATGTATATGTATATGACTATCCTGTCACAGATATTTTTACAAATCTATCTTTTTTAACGCTCCACCTACCTACTTATGCTTTAATTCTTTCTACCCAAAGGTTGTCTGGAAGAGATTGCTTAGCAATAAGACCGCCTTTTGTACTACACTATACGTATTGAAAATTGTTTTAACAAATCATGTTATGTTGGTGCAATAAAGTGTTAAATAAATAAATAAATAAAATAAATAAATAAAGAAACCATTATGCACCTTTTTGAAGAACCTCATACTATAGTCTCTAGGAAAAACCTTGACAATGAGCTCATTCCACAGCCAGAGCGTTCACAGGAGAAAATTCCTCTAAAAGTGCACTGTAAGCGATTATTTAGTTTCTAGCGTATGTTGATGAATTCTCTGTCGATGGCGAACGGTACGTTAATAAATAAGGCTGTGTGCACATGATGCTCATAATGCGAATAAATCAATAAAAACAGTAGAACACACAAAGGCAGGCAAAGTGTCGCCTAAGCCTTAAGGGCTCGATATCGCATATGAACTTATATTAAAACAAAATGTGTAAAAGTCGTCTGCATGGGACTGCTTTTGTCTAGTGCATATTTCTTTAATGTGTCTCTACTAATATATTCTATTTTCGTATACAGTACGGGCCGGGAATGCGGTGCGACCCACCACTGCGCCACGAAGGTATGGGCCCAGATGACCTTCCCCGAGGACAACGACAGCATCTGTAAGATTTGTACCGACATGGTGCAACAAGCCCGTGATCAGCTGTTGAGCAACGAAACGCAGGTTATTTTTTTTTTAAACCTAATTTTTACTCCGATCACGTAGACGAAACACGTGATTAAAATATATCGATTGATTGCCATAAAATGGATCGTTTTCCCATGTTCTACGCCGTCCTAAATATAATGCGTATACCAAATTTCATACTTATTGATTCATCCATTAAAGAGGTAACATATTGATATTTCACTTCCTATCACTTCGAACTAGTCAATATGTAGGCAAGCAGCGTTGTTTAAATTGTTCTTTGTTGGTGACTAATACTGATTAAATAAATATTTTTGTAACTAGAATTCCATGACAGTAACAATCTGACTCATATTGTCTACTTAAGGCAACTTATAACTTAATAGCCTTTATACTTTTGCTTACCGAAGTATGTCAACGTAACGATTATCTGTCAATTTTCAAAAACAATTGAACATTTTTCAATGTTTCTGAATGATTATTTATAAATAATACATTTTATATAAATCTACCATTAAAAACTACACCTACAATATTTCAAATACGTTGTTGCTATCAAAATATGTACTGATAGCTCAACAAAAATTATTTTGCATGATTAACGTTTTAGTTTGCTAGCGGAGAATATTTTAGGTAAGCACTCAGGCATGCACAATTTGAAAAATGTTAAATTGTTTTTGAAAATCGATAGTTAATCGTGACATTGCCACACTTTGGTAATTTTTTTTAATGGATGATAATGGAATGGTAATCCCACCTGTGCGTGCTAACAGGATACACTAGCGGAGCACAAGTGAAAGATGATAGGTAAGAATGAAAATGCAGGTCAGTTAGCTCATCGCCATGAATACACCTAGAATGTAGCTCAATGGTATCCAAGGGGGAACACATGGAGGTCTACCTGACCGAGTATATTGCTAGCAATGAGATTGACAATCTGCATTACTAACAAAACACCATTTAGATAAGTTAAAGCTAAGAATGCTCTTAAAGTGTAGTCTATAATATTTGAAATAAGAATATTATAACTTTAGCAATCTAAAAATGACGAAAATCTCATATGGCTGTGTTTATTTGAAAAATGGTATGGTACGGGTTACAGTGTACTTTTGGCTTTGCAATGCATTGTGTGATATTCATAGTATTGTTCATTTCTATAAGCAGCGGACACCATTTCCCATCAGATAGCGACTAGTCAGTTTTTAGTCATTTTATGTTATATAAAAAAAAAGTAATTTACGAAAAAAAAATGTTTATCTTTGTGCATCCGCTTCCTTCTATACTCATTGTATTGTCTAAATCTCTGTAGACAATGCAACAACAATTAAGAAACTTTAAACGAGTAAGTTCCGTATATTATCAGTGAGGGTCTTTGTTCTCACGAAATCACCTTGCTCATAGTTCGTAGCTCTGGATCGTTGACCGATAAGCCTTAACGATGCCACGTGATTAGGTCTACTTTGTTAAGGAATTTAAGGCACTGGGATAATTTCTCTTTAATTTTATTGCGAATGGTATAAAACTTATATGATTCAATAATCAATAGCCATGGATAGGTTTATATTGAATATTTTTTTGAAGTACTGTCTGTGTGGGATCGGGATGTATTGTTCGCCCCCATACGTGCTCTGTTTTTCTGTATGTACTCGTATTTATGTTCCGACATCATTTATATGACGTGGTTGGGGGCCTTGACTAAGTCATGCTCACTAAAATATACAGACCGGTGATGGCCGGTAGGCCGGGTTATTGAGTTCCCTAAAATATGGCTGAGCGCAATGATGACTGTCTCACACGTCAGACTCGTGAATGGGTGCTACCTGTAGGTACTGGTCTGCTCTGGTCACTGCAAATAGTTTGATAAAGTTTATGGTCTAATACTGCTTAGTAGTTTATATTTAAACAAATTCATTATTTATGTAGTTTAACTTTTTGAAAAAAAAAGCGATACTTGAGTTTGTTGTCCGTTCTTCTTGACTGAAATTGCTTCCCGAATGGGCGGTAATGAAAAAAATTACTATTCTAAAATGCTTAAATCTAGGTTTACTTAAGTAATAATATTTCTTTCATCCAAAAACTACTGCACCAAATTAGATGCTGTTTTTACAGTTATTGCTCTTGATTAAAATCTGATACATGTTTTATCTTGACGCGCCATCTAGGAATGCTTTCTTTAATTTTGTTTCCTATTTTTGTTTTTATATATTTACGCGTACGAAGTAGCAAACTAAAGCTAGTTTATTAGGCATGGGTAATATGGATACTGATCCGATATCTATATATTGAGTTCTTCTGGGCATTAATGGCAGAAAAAAGGTTATCACCCATTTCGATATCGCCTATATCGGTCGGATATTTATTTTTGAATATATTAAAAGTTAGTTATCCAATATAATTTTTTTCGATAACACACTTTTAACATATTTTATTCGTTATTGGCCCAGTGTGTAGATATTGTAACTATAGTACATTACTGCAGCGGCCAGCAACTGAGGCATTGATGGACGAACGTGCAAATGTGGGCCGAGGCGTAACCGAGGCACACATATTAGGCATTGATGGAAACACAGGCGTGAGTCCATCAATGCCTAGTTGTGGCCATGGCTTGTATAGTACTTTTCTTAAACAATGCGCGGAAATCAAAAACACAATTTTACTTTTTTAGTTCAATGACGAATAAGGAACAATAATAATTTTTCACGCGCCATAATGTTCCTTTGTTTTTTTTTTGTTTCAATAAACAGCTTTCTATTTGCAAGCCAGTTCGAAATTTAAATAAAACCTTTTATTAGTTACCTCCTTGGTAGCCATGTTTCGAAGTTAAAGATCATTCCATTTTTAAATTACAGGACAGATATGAGTTTACATAGTAATTTATATGGCCGTAAAACACGACAGATATGGATTTTCATACAAATTTTGTCAGCCGCTGCCCGTATGTATCTGGCCAGTACGGCAATTTTTATTTATCTTGAAGAAGATTGTCAAAATAATGCTCACATTTCCAAGCATGTGTGAGAAAAAATATATAGATATTACCCCCCCCCCCCCCCCCCCCCCCCAATTCTAATATTAGTAAGAATTTTAAAATGTGCTTCTTTATTTTCTAGGAGGAACTAAAGGAAGTGTTCGAGGGTTCGTGCAAGCTGATCCCCATCAAGGTTGTGGCGAAGGAATGCATCAAGTTGGCCGATGACTTCGTACCGGAGCTGGTGGAGACCCTCTCCTCACAAATGAACCCCCAGGCCGTCTGCTCGGTCGCCGGACTCTGCAACAACGCGAAGATCGATCATCTTCTCGAAAGATATGTACGTATTATTTTTAAAACCTAAGCTCTTTTTACCATATTGGGACTTTATACATAAATCGTCTATTTGGGTGCCTTTGTTCTATTCGTGTTTCTACCCTAAAGCAGTTGCGTTTGCATAGCTGTGTTTCGGTTTGAAGGATAGGATATGGCAATTAATCAATAGTTCGTCTTTTTTTGAACCGGTATCGATAATTGATTCCTAATGCTATTTGATTCACTACTACGGAAATATCTTACTGATCTTACGGAAAATATTTTACTGATTTAGGTATTATTTTACGAAATTCCATATCACTAGTTATTTTAATTATAAATATTTGGTTTAATTCCGTTACCATTAGTATGTGTACAATCTTCGAGTGTTGCACACGTACTAATGGTAATCAAATAACCAATCTAATGGTGATTGTAATTTCGATCCCCATACAATATATTTGTATTCATGAGTATATCTGTTTAACATTTTTATAATAATATATCTGTATTTAAAGGGAAATAAGCATATGTTTCAGTTGTCTAGTTTGAGTACAAACTCTGCTTAGTATGACACTATATGGTATTTAATTATTGTTAAACTCTCTAAACACATTTTATGTTTTATACGAATGATAACCTGTAAATGACCTACATTATCTCATAGCTCTGTAAATATTCTATTTTCGCAGATTATTATTTTGCTATTTTGCATTGTAATAACTAGTATTACCCGCGACTTTGTCCGCATGATTGGAATGTACTATACTTTATCAGAAATACTACGTTTTTGTCAAATTTCTTAACGATCGATTGATTTTTATTTATAATGTTAGTACCTATTTTTTTTATATATATATATGTATGTAGTTAATGTTATCTCCGCTTAGTGGGTACTAACACTGATTTTATATCGGCACTTTATCAAAATCCGGTCAGCCAATGGGTAGTGATTTTGTTGTATATTTTAGAGTGGCGCGATTATAAATACATTGTATTTTATTATTACATTATTGAATAATAATAAATATGTCGTATAGGAGGTCACAGATATAACTTGGTATAGAGCTGGCTGGAAAAGAATTCATAAATTAGTTGCACCGATAAGAGAAAACTCTTAAATGAGAAGACAGGATAATAATATTAACTTATTAGGTTCCGTGCGTTTGGAAATTTTTGTTGCCTTCGATATGGTATATATTGTTTAAATATTGTATACATTATTTGCATTATTCAGTATAGGAAATAAACAAGACAATTTACACACATAACGATACAATTGTATAAGTACAGCAAGGCGGTCTTATTGCTGAGAGCAATCCTTTCAAGACAACCTTAGGGTAATGGACTAATTGTTGTACAAGTAGGTATGATAGCACTCTATAATTAAGAAAGTATCTTTTGCAAATAAAAAAATTAAATTTTATTACTGCAGTGTTAACAGTAGATAGCTTAGTTATCCCATTTTGCAACTTGTAATAGTAAACAAGCTGACGGTCTGTCTGATGAAAGTAGTAACCATCGTGTATAATTTAAGGTATTAAAAAACCGTCTTAAATTATGGCAAAACTCATTATTTTGATTTCAAAATTAAAATACTGAACCGATTTTGATAAAATTTATATGAGATCATTCTTAAGTATATTATTTTAGATAAAAACATAATAACTAACGGAATTATGACGTAATAAGACACAAAAATACAATCTAATGGAGAACCTCCTTCTTTTTGAAGTCGCTTAATAAACATATAGGCCAGATGCTCACTATAGTACCAGTCTCAAAGCGCAAACGCAAGTGCTTGGGAACTCAAATCCAATACATAGCACAAAAAAAAGTACCAGTCTCAGTTCACTTTCGGTCCGTTCTCGGTCTTGTAAAATATTATTACGTATGAAACAATGTATTCACACTACAATCTAGTCTCGTTCCGATCAATCTCGAAATGTTTTGATCATACTTAAAGCGAACCGAGACCGGCACTGTAGCAGTCTACATACTATTGGATCGGATCTTACAGTACAATGTGCGTTACTAAATACATTTATGCCCATAGTACTCCATATGCATTATTTTTTAAATTGGTCTTTTACCTCATCAATTTTTTACTGATACTTTTATAATTATTATGTATAAAAATAATATTAATAATTATGATAAATTGTTATACCTCATCAATTCTTTTACTGATACATATTAAATGAATTATAATTATTATGTATAAAAATAATATTAATAATTATGATAAATTGTTATACAAAGACATTATACCTACTTGAGTTAATTATACTTTGATACGTAGAGTCTGGCTTTGTCGATAGTCTTAATCTTATCTATACTAATATTATAAAGAGAAAAGATTTTTTTGTGTCTTTGTTTGTAATGAATAAACACAAGAAATATTTTACAAATTTTAAACATTCTTTCACCTATAAGAAGCTCTTTGTATCAATGTAGGCAATATATATTTAAAAAGTATTAGAGATTTCTATGAAAATTACAATAATGTAATCAAGATAAAAAAAGCAATTTATTTTTAAACTTTCTATGTATCTCAAACGAAGCTGGGCTGGACCACTAGATTTTTTTAATGGGTGATAATCATATGGTAACCCCGCCTGCGCTAACGGTATACGTTGGCGGGGCACCAGTCAGAGATGATAGGTGAGAATGAAAAGGCAGGACAATTAACCCATCGTTATGGATACATCTGGAATTCAGCACAATGTTTTCCAGGGGTACTATGTGGAGGTCGTACTGGCAGGGTATATTGTTGGCAGTGGGATTGGTATTCCGCATTACTAACATCGTATCAGCCTTTAACTGTCCACTGCTGAACATAAACCTCCCCTTTGGGAGGTTTTGCCAATATTTACCACGCTTGGCAGGCGGATTGGCAACCGCAGTCCAGCTTTAGAAATGTTTTAAGAGGGACGCTGCTGCCCATCCCTCGCCCTCCCTTAGTCGGTTCTTATGACACCCACGGGATAGGAAGGGGTGGCCTATTCTATGCCGGGACCACATGACCACGGACTGCTATTTTATAATATATTAGTAGTACAATTGATTAAACACATTGATCATTTTAATAATAGGATAATTTTACCAGTGGTCTGATACACTCAGGGTAATGATCATTTATATTTCTACTTATCAAAAAGCTTTTTTTATTTGCAACTGTAATAATACGATATGATCGCGTATACCCGTTGACCCCTCCAATGTCACGTTGACCCCTCCACTTTAATAATATTATTATTTTTAGAAGTAACAATATATTGTACAATCTAAAGTTTGTCATAAATTACGCAGGTGATATGTCTATATAGACATGAAACTTTTTACAAAAATCGATTGCTTAAGTACCTCTATCCCATTCGTGTTTCAACCGTGAAGCAGTTGTGTTTGCATGGCTGTGTTTTGGTTTAAAGGGTGGGATATGGCGTGAATTTACTGGGTACAGAGGAATGACACCTGAGTCCTCAGGAATGGCAACGCATGGAGGGTATCATGGGCGAAACAGTATACTCTGTTACGTCCATGGTACTGCTCATGTCTACAGGCGACGGTTACCACTTTCCATCAGGTGGACAATCAGCTTGTTTGCCATTCTAAGCTGCATAAAAAAAAAAATCTACAACAAACTTAATTTGTCTTAATTTTTCACTCGTATTTTAAAATTGCCATTCCTGAGGTGTTATGACTCTCTATTATGTGTTTCTAAAAGATAGTTTTAATTTTAATGAAAGGTAAATCTAAATATTGTTTATATTAAATTTAGGTGGCATATAGGCACGTGGCTACTTTTTAAGTTTTAGCAAAAGTATACCGTGATTTATTACTGAATATTTTTTAATTTTAACAATCTTAGGTACTCTATATGTACATTACAATTACATTGACTTTGTATGTATAGTACATGTATATAGTAATCGTGGTATCAAAATATTTTAATGATAGAGGTCATTGTCCAACATTATGATAATAGTGTATAAACATACGTTGAAGTAAGAAAAAATCTACAACGTCTCATAGATAAGCAAACAGATCATTATACCACGTTTACACTATATATAAATACATATGTGTAATGTATTTATACAACATTAATAATTACTAATCATACATTAGAAACTTTCCAAATGCAATTATATTCGTATGAAGATGAACTGAAAATTTGGATTTTAATGGAAAAAATGTATTGTTAGATTTATATGCAATGTATTCAAACGGTTTACATAATGTGTTTATCTATCTATCTATTCTATGATTAACGTTTTAGTTCGCTAGCAAACTGCTTTTTAAATAATCAGAATTTATTTTGATAGCAAAAATGTATTTGAAAAGTTGTAGATACAGTTTTTAGTGGTTATACGCATAGAGAATAATTAATAAACTGCATTATTCTTTTTAAATAATTAATCGATGGCGAAGAAGGTTAAGTGGGGACCCCGTACGAGCAAACGCAGTTTAGGACGATCGCCACTAGATAGAGTGTTGGCCTCGAACTCATTGCAGGGAATCAGTGGGTGCAGGTGACTCAGGATCATTCCTTATGGCAGTCTATAGGAAAGACCTAAATACAACAGTGAACAGGTAATGGCTGAGATGATAATGATGATATAAAATCAATCAGAAACATTGAAAAATGTTAAATTGTTTTTTAATATTGACAGATAAATACAACGTTGTGTCATTTTGGTAAGCGAAAATTTTTAGCTCCTAATGATTGTCCATCGTTACAGAACACGCAAAAAGCTCAGCGGGTGAGCTGCTACAACTGCCAGACGACTGCCAGCGTGTTAAGAAAACGATTCGATGCCACCACTTACGAAGATTTCCTTATCGGTCTTCTGCAGGTAATATTGTTATTGGTTCTCGTTATTTGTAAATAATTAATAATAATAATTGAAACCTTATAAATATTTTTACTCACACATTTTTACATATTGTTTCTTTGGTTTTTAGAATGGCGTGTCATGTTATTGTATAGTCTATACTAACACCTTGTAAGATTAAAAATGTATAATATTTCCATTATATTCTATTTTATTAATTTTTTTTTTTTATTTTATTTATTAATATTTGACAAAAAACACAAAGTTACAAATACAAGATACAATGGGCCCCACACTAGGCGAACCTGTATCGTGGACACCCGACAAAGATTAACAAATCACAATGTGTTATAATAAAAAAGTACATAGTGGGCGGGTATTAATATAAAAAGGAATATAAAATTGAAATAGTGAAATAAGTAATAAAATCAACAATATAAATACACAAGCAATTATAAAACTAATAATATATTCTTTATATATAATATATATTTTATATTTTATTTATACAGGTGTGTCGTAAGATGGACTCCCTATCAGACTCGTGCTCAATGCTAGTATTCAAATACTACGAGGACATCTTGAAAGCAGTGAAAGCGGATCTCACACCCCAGAGCGTGTGCCACATGAGCGGACAATGTACTTACAGATTCCACACCCACGATGAGTTCGACTTCCCTGAACTGGTCGTCGGCGAAGTGAAGGCTTCTGAGTAAGTATAATATTACTATAAAAATTGTAACTTTATAGTGTCTGTACACGGTAGATATTTGAGAAAAAAAAAATGGTATGAGAGATCTTAATAAGACTAATAGAAGTCAAAACGATATTTTTTCGAAAATTTGTATGTTTGTTCCGGCATCACGCAAAAGCTGCTGCACATAATTGCATGAGGTTCTCACAGTTGTATTTCCAAAGATTCAACTTAAAAACTGGCCCATATAAGTATCTAGAAGTAGTCCATTTTATAAATTTTCCTAATTCTGAAATCTACGCCTACTAAGGAGAGGGCAAAAATCTAGTGTAATATAAAATCCTTGTGACAATCTGTGGGAGAAAGGACTGTGGCAGTAATTTAATTTTGTTTACTTATACAAGCGAACAAAATTAAAATAAAAGGGGGATGGGAGTGGGATATTAGTGATGGGATATAGCGGTATTACCTCACTAACTCTATCCGTTAACTTTTTTTTCAGTGATGTCCCTTGCGAGTTTTGCGAACAAGTAATCACTCATCTCCGAGATGTATTAGTCGCTAATACAACGGAATCAGAGTTCTACAGAGTCATAACTGGTTAGTAGCTTACTAATATTACCAAAGTATAATTGAACGACGTTTGCACATAGATTTTTAAGATAGATTAATATTATTATATAGGAATTTTAATAAGACCAATAGATGCCAAAACAATATTTTATAAGTATTGTCTATGTGTCTGTATATTTGTTCTGGCATCATGCAAAAAAATACTTCTTTTTCATTTTAATACAACTTAATAATAAATAATTTTTATTCAAACAAATAAATAAAATTGCCGATTTAATCGGCCCACCTGGTGGAAAATTATAAATATAATAATTTATTTACATTCTCAGTGGTTTAACCGTCGTCTATAGATTAGATTTAAACAGAATACAGGCACTTTAGCTAAAAGATTATTGCTAACATTGCAACGGTTTTTAATCTTAATTGATAATTAATTTCTAGTGTAGAATTAATATCTAGGCTAGTGTAGAAAATCCATAACCAATTTGACAAAGCAGAACAAAAACTGATCGATTATTGAAATGCACAATTCATAATACTGGCATTGATAATATTATCGTCAAAGGTACACCGATTTTGATTATCTCTGTATCTCTTACTAATATTCATTGTCATATCCCAAAATCCCATTTGACAGATCTTCAAAATTTATTTTGTAACACATTGATACATTTAAAATATTAAAAACACAATGTATATGTTATTTCATTCACGACGTATTTTAAAGACATTCTCAATATGTGGAACAGTTAGTTGCATGCTCGAACAATTGATATTTTGTCCCCGAAAATATTTTCTATGTAAAATAAAACTACTCGACAAATTTTAAAAATTCTTTCATCTATAGTAAGCTTTACGCCGACCCCATATAATAATTGGTATAAGGGTAGGAAGAAGAGTAAGTTACGTTATTATTCAATAACATACATACATACATACATAAATGCATCTGTCACGCCTGTCACCCTTTTGGGAATAAAAAAAAAATTTTTTATACAACTTAGAAACAATGGAACGCCAAATGCTTAACGATTCAAACAAACCCCTCTTTCGCTTCTTCCTGTACATTCATCAATCTTTTCATACATTTCCAATAACATAGGCTACATAATCTTAAAAAAAAAAAAAATCAACTTTTCTACAAAAATCACAATAAAACAACCCAAAATATTACATTTTGTCTGTTAAAGCTAATATAAAATATTAATTTATCTTTCGCGGATCGCTATTTAGAATATATTTTCTACTGTCACGTTTCACAGCATCGATTTGCTAACGACTCTTGAAAGTATTGTATTGCCTCTTATTATTTGTTACTTAATTAACTTACTACTCTATTAACAGGCCTCTGCAAGCAAACTGGCAAATTTAAGGATGAGTGTCTCCACATAGCCGAGGAATACTACCCTGTCATATACAAGTTTTTGGTGTCCGACCTACAACCTGACCAGATTTGCACCATGATGGGCATCTGTGGCAAGCGAGCCGATGAGCCAATCTCACCATTGTTGCCTCAAGAGATTGCAATCAAAGCCAACAAATTAATTGGCACTGATGAAGCGAATAGCTATAGCACTGAGACGGTATGTCTTGTTGAAGAGATTTTGTTTTTCATTTGTTATTTATTTGTCGTCTATTAAAAAATTAAAGTATTAAAAAGATGGAGTGACAACCTTAAATGCATTACAGGGAGTCAGTGAATGCAGGTGGCTCAGGACCGTTCCTTATGGCGTAAGGAGTAGGTCTATGATCAGCAGTAGACAGATAATGGCTGAGATGATGATTTTACATAATCTGTCGTTGAAAACGCTATGTGCTGTTACCTTTTTAAAAATGTTTGGTCGTCATATGAATAAAGCGAGTCAATCCCAATACATTTTATTAAAACGACTAATATAATAATAGTATGTATGGTATTATATGTAATAGTAGCTGGAATCTCATAACTGTGTTCCATTCGGTTTTAATGTATTTATCTTGACTATATTCTCTCCACGAAGTAGGACGTAAATTGCTTTAATTCTTACATACTTGCTTTATCGGCTTGACACTCACGTCTTGTATATACATCGGATTCTGAAAACTATGTTTATGTGTTAAATAAATATCTACAATCAGTAAAAACATATGTAATAATATACTTTTGCTATGAACGTGTTTAGATCGGAAGGGTGGCCGTACCAAAGCAAGCCAACGTTCGTATCATGGGAGCCGAGTCGGACATCGCCCCGCTGCCCATTGAGCGCATGTTCATACAACAACCACAAGGCAAAGCCGCCTGCTCATTCTGCGAGTACTTCTTGCATTATCTTCTTTAGCGATACTAAAACTGAGGTGGTGTGCTAACTCAGCGTCCGTTAATACTAAAACCAACGAAATGGATAATATTTAAATGGCATATCGAGATAAAGCATACACCAGATTATAAATTAGATCTTCAGAAATGTGCCGGACATTAGATTTTATTTTTATTTTTAATATCAATAGGCTGTTAAATTATTTTGATAGTTTTTTTTTTTTTAAACTTTGTTGATTTAGAACTGTGGTTTTATAAAAAAAATTGAGAACAAATATAACCAGCTTTGTTCATATTGTTTTATAGTATTTTATATTTACTATTCCAATTTCTGAATGTATGTAAGTTTCACTTTAGCAACTGTATTTTTTTTTGTTGTGTTTGTAAACAGAGAAAATGCTAGAATGACAAACAAGGACAAACCACCTGATGGAAAGTGGTAACCGTCACCTATAGACATGAACAGTACCATGGACATAACAGAGTATACTGTTTCACCCATGATACCCCCCATGCGTTGCCATTCCTGAGGACTCAGGTGTTATTCCTCTGTACCCAGATAAATTCACGCCATATTCCACCCTTCAAACCGAAACACAGCCATGCAAACACAGCTGCTTCACGGTAGAAACACGATTGGGACAGAGGTGCCCAAGCAATCGACTTTTGTACAGTCTCCCTCTGGTTACAACATATTAATTATATTGGCAAACATTTTTGCAGGACGCTATCAGAGACGCCGTGGAGAAAGCGTGCGACCGCTTACCAAACTCTGTAGAAGGGGAGTGCAAACAATTCGTGACGCAGTACGGGCCGGCCGTTATCGCTCTGCTCGTCCAAGAAATTGACCCTGCTAGTGTGAGTATACCATATAGGTACAGACAACACTGCATATGTTGTAATTAGCGTATTTAAGACTATTTTCCGAGGGACCTTTTTTTAATGGATGATAATGGAATGGCAGCCCTGCTTGTACTATCAGTATACATTGGCGGGCCACCAATGAAGGATGATAGATGAGAATGACAGCAGGTAAGTTAGGTGACGTAACTAATTTAAAAATTAACCACGATGGTTTCCAGAGGGAACCGCGTGGAGGTAGACCTGACTAGGTATATTGCTAGCAATGAGGGTTGCTAGACACCATTATTTAAAATCCCTCTGCCCACTCCAGGGGACGTAGCTATATAATAAAGGCACATATGATCCCTTAGACATGTTTCTGTCTATAGCTGAAAGCTATGCTTCTTATTCTAGAGTGGACACAGTCCACCCAACCCTCCGTCTTAATACATCTATGCATGTTGTCCAAACATAATTATAAATTTATTTGTATATACGTATATATGTAATTTATATTTAAACTAATGTAATCACTTGTAGTCGCCTATTATACTCAAAAATGCCACTACATTATAAATTAATAAATGAATAACAATGATTTTGTGGAACAAAGAGACCATAGTATCTCGAAACATGTTGTTTATTAAAAAAAATATACCTTTTTTTATCGTACTGATAACAACTGATCACCTTGTTATAATATATTGTGTTGTGGAAACTAGTAAAAATAATATTATATATATAGGTGTGCCCAGCCATGGGTCTGTGTCCGCAAACCCAAGAAGTTCGCCGTGTGTCCATCAACTCTGACAAGTCCAACTGCCCGCTCTGCTTGTTCGCGGTGGAACAACTTGAAACTATGTTGAAGAACAACCACACTGAGGTATTGTATAATAACAAATTTATTCTCTAAAAAAAAAAGTAAATGAGCTAACAGTGATTATGTATTTAAATGTACTTGAATGTTTGACATTATAGTTTTCACGCACTAGAAAACCTTGCACAATTATTCTAAGCTGTATCCAAACTCAATGCAAAATATTACATTTTTAATAAATGTATATATATTTTAGTCATTGTTTTTTTTTTTTTCTTTTGAATCTAGATATTTTTAATTCATCAAAAAGTTATAATAAATCTCTCTGACTTATAAAATAAGTATGTAGAGCATCGACTATTTTCATGAATACACACAAGATAATATATAAAAAAAAGTAATGACCAAAAAATTAAGAAAGCGATATCGGTTAGTTGACATTATTCTTTTTTTTTACAACTTGAATGACAAACAATTAATTCCGGCCAACATCGTCATGGAAAACCTTACACATCTTTCTATAGACATGATATAACTCAATGCACCGTTTCGTGGACACATACCCCCAATTGGTCGAAATGTTGGTCCATTCTTGAGGACTCAGGTGTTATTCCTGTGTACCCTGTAAATTCACCGACGCGTATGACCCTCTGCATATTACCAAGCAGAGCATCGACTATTACCACGAGAAGCCGCACAAGATGGCCGACAGGAATAACCACAGAAGGAAGTCATTGTTACCAAAACATATGTTGGAGAACAGCGATATCGGTTAGTTGACATTATTCAACCATTAATTTTTACCCGCGACTTTATCCGCATGAGCGGAATATATTCATTGATTGAAATAAATGTCATCTCTTTCTCCGTCCCCTATACAATGTATACCCAATTTAATTACTATTGATTTAACTCTTAAGGTGCTAACACGTAATAAACAAACTCACTTTCACATTTATAATAAAGTAACGAATTATTGTCCAATGTTTAATACAAAAGTCCCCCATAAATTGCCAGAGGATATGCTCTAAAGTAACCTGCATCTACCACATACTAGATTCTGTAGTATCTAGTATGTTATGATATAGTAATATAGTATTTTGTGTTTGCAAAACCAATCCAGTGAAATATGATTTTAATTCTATCTAGTACTCTGCATATTGTTTTTCTTATATTGAATTTTTAAACGAGATAAATCCATAACGTGATCAAATCTGTCATGTTCCAAAATGTGTGTAAATAGAGAAGGTAAAGAATGAACCAACTTCTCCAAACTCCATTACTAGTTTTATTGTTCTATCTGATAAAAAATAACTTGACAAATCGAATAATGCAAGACATGAACATTACTGTATTTGAATATGTATGTATATGCGAATAACTTTACGTTTAAAGATTAGTAATTGTCACAAACTTAAACTAATAGCACATTTTTTATTTTATATGTACAGAAACAAACGAGATCCCAGATAACACGGTAAATGGTCAACCGAAACAGCCTCCTGTATCCCAGAAAAGCCTTTGTGTCATTTGTGAATTTGTGTTGAAGGAGATCGACGATGAAATCAAGGATAAACACAATGAGGTATGTATGCAATTTTACATATTAAGAGACCAATTGTCGTTGATAGTTTATTTAAAAAAAAAAACACATCAAAACTAACTCTACTAATTTAAATTATATAAGTTTAAATTTGTTATTCTTTAATGAGCTTTAATAGTTTTTCTCATTAGAAGCATACAATTTCCATATGTATAGGAAATAAATATAATAAGTATTTTACTCAGAATTGATTTGGTGACGTGTTGCAAAATGTGATGACGTAGAGGAATGATAGTAGAGACTATACTCATAATATATATACTGCACCTTTAAATGTAAGCCTTGATATAACATTTGACTGGTAGAGAATGCCATCAGGCATTAAGTCCGCCCTGTAGACATATTATAATGTGTGCAAAAGTATAAATAAATATTTTTTTTTTATACAACTTAGAATGGCAAACAAGCTGACGGCCCACCTGATAGAAAGTGGTAACCGTCGCCTATAGACATGTAACAGTACCATGGACATAACAGAGTATATTGTTTCGCCCATGACACCTCCCATGCGTTGCCATTCCTGAGGGCTCAAGTGTTATTCCTCTGTACCCGGTAAATTCACGCCATATCCCACCCTTCAAACCGAAACACAGCCATGTAAACACAACTACTTTACGATTAAAACACGAATGGTACCCAAGCAATCGACTTTTGTACAAAGTCTCCCTCTGGTAGATTAAATTAACTATTAATGCAGTTTAAGTATACGATATTTTAAACAAATGGGAGGTACTACTAATACTGTTTTTTTTTTTTTTAACAGAAATATGTGTTTATAATGTTTTTACGTTAAATAAATATTTTGTGTTTAATTTAAATAGAAAGTTTACATTTACAGTCAATAAGCATTCAGTTGTTTCTTAAAATTGTTATTTAAATAAATAATTGTTTTATTTTGTATATCAATTTTTATAGGATGAAATCAAGAATATCGTTCTCGGCATATGCAAGCGCCTGCCTAAGTCAGTACGCAGCGAGTGCGATAACTTCGTGGAGAAATACTCAGATCTGGTCATCAGCATGCTGGAACAGAAGCTCGATCCCGCGCTCGTCTGCCAGGAACTGAAGCTGTGCAGCCCCACCGGTATCAACGCTGTTAAGGGTATCAATCACATTGTAACATAATGGCTAATCTAAAATTTAAAAAATTTTATAGGCCTATTTTATCTATGATTTGTTTTTTTTATTTGCAGTGCATCTCTATTCTGTAAAATCGTAAGGTTTTATATGCAGTGTGTAAAATATTTTTTTTTGTTAAGGGGACGAACCTTTTTTTGTTCATGATTTTTTTTTTTAATTAGTCGTCTTTTCCATTACATGAAATTTACCTATTAATTATATTTAGAATGTATTTTTTTTTTCTTTTTAATTCAATCTATGGATGGTGTATTTATGCAACTTAGAATAGCAAGCAATCTAACACAAAACACTTAATAGATAGCTATATAACAGTCGCTTGAGTATAATTTACACCAAAAACATCACAGAATAAAATGTAATACTCCTGAGGCCAAAGATGTGGTACTGTAATACCATATCCCACACCAATAAATACATCGATATTTTTAAAAAGGCTAAAAACAATAAATTTTCAAAAAGGAGACTCAATTCTTTTAATTTTAAATAAAAATAACTGGTTTTGTCACAATTGAAATCTTTTGTTTGTGGGACACAATCGTTAGTCTCAGACAATATGACGCAACTACAAGAGAGTGATCCAAAGAATTTTATACTCTCTTAAACTTTATTAATAAGTTCAATAATTAAATATGATTAAATTAATTTAATTTACTTTATTTACATTATATACATAAAAATCATTTATAATATAAACATGTCTCACACGAAAACTTTTCTAACAGAAGAGATCCTGGACTGCGCCGTCTGCGAAGTGGTCGTAATGGCGGTGAACAAAGTACTCAGCAACGACAAAGTCGACCACGACATACTGCATGTCGTTGAGAAATCGTGCAATCTACTGCCCGCTAAATACTACGCTAGGGTGAGTTGGGTTCCTTTAAATTTAAAACACTTGTCACCCCTGAGAGGTGACTAGATTCATAAGTCATTTCTCTAGGGTGTTAATAAATAAATTAATAAATACTGTTGCACATATTGTACATCACCCATGATCCAAATTAAGCAGAGCTTTTACATTAGTTATCACTTTTACATGTATGGATAGAATAATACGGTAACGTCCGATCAACGTCTAGTTCTTTCTAATGCATACGCTACCGAAAACGTATCTATTTATTTACCTATTTATTTGCCATTTCTCTAGGTGAAAGGGGGCTAGATACTTAGTGCTACATCCGAGTGTCCTAAATATTCTTTTAATTACACCTACGATTCTGTCGGTTTATTTCAAATTTTCGATTCATAAATGGAATAATAATTCCAAAATTGTATTTTTTTTAAATGGAGTAGAAACGAAATCATTGTACTGATAAAATTATTAAAACTTCACCTGTACATAATTTGTAAATAATTGGTTTTTGCGCTTATACAGAGAAAGATATACCCAGCAGTAGGATGTTTGTGGGTTATTTTGATTTTTTTTTTTTTACTTTATCCTAACTAAACATTCCTCTTTGGTACCCTGCCAACGTTGACCAATAGCGTCGGCGGGATTATCATTCCATTATTATCCCATTAAAAAATTAGGAATATAAATAATTATTATGGCGGTTTAAACTTAAAAGTTACGTAGTAAAAACAGGTTTAATCCAAGTTAGTAAGGTATGTTTTTCTATTTTCTTTTGCTGGTTCATTTAAACATTTGTTTTTTTTTTTTTTTTTTTTGTAGATTGCTATTGGATCAATGTCGCTTTAGTCTTTAAATTATTATATTTATAATTGGCTTTATTCTAATTAAATTATTATTTAATTTTTAAAGCTATCATATATAATCATTAAATTCTGAATCCCAACATATACTAATTATAATACAAATATTACAAAACTATAAGTTCGTAATATGGCATGATATTAGGATAATAATCTTTATGTATTTACCAACTTTTCCTTAACCCCTTTATAGTACATACCTAAATCTTATACTATGGCATAAAGTTAATTACTTTTGTTATGCCATAACAGATGTATCTATCTAATTTAACAAATAATGCTGAAAGGAAAAATAACAATTTTTAAATGCTCTAGTATTATGGACTTCTATTTATAATTAGAGATTGTAAATCTTTGTTATATATAGGTTATAGGCATCCTCTCTATAATCCGAAGCCTAGATTTAATAAAATAAAAGTTACTACGTAACTTGATGGGAGCATATTTCTTTTTTCTTTTATACACAAAATTTAATAATAGGCTATGGTTATTCAGGATGTCTAACTTGATTTCCTATGAAAACTTTTCCTCGCATCTCCTTTACAAATCATCATTTTACTACCCTTATCCCAAATATTATTTGAGATCGGCGTTTATGTATTTCTCTTACATTCCTCTCTATTCCACAATCACTCCCATTCTCATCATATCATCTTTCACGCAGTCCATCCTTATATTTTTAGGTCTCCCTGTGCCCTTATAGCTAACATCTCCTTTACAAATATAAACCTAATATTGTATTCGAATTTTTACATATATTTTTAATAAACACGCACGCAACAATGCTGAGGCATGACGTGGCATGTTCCTTGCTCAAAATTGCTCCATATAAAATCTTGCTAACGCTTCACAGGACAAAGCATTGGCAAGATAAAATACTGATTTTAAAAACATAACAATTTTTGAATTTATAAACCATAATATTATTTTTTGTTTCGTAACTATTATTTAATAATTATAATTTTATGTTTAAATTTTTATTAATTTAAATTAATGTTTAATTTCAAAACACGAAATAGTATGTTATGTTTTTATCGGTTGAAATTAATTTTAAGAAATATATGCTTACATATAAGAAAAAAATTATAATTATACTATGCATATGCCATATCGCCAAATACTAACCTATAAGAATTAAGCTTCTCGAAGCTTCCCGCCAAATTGTTTTAAATATATTTGCGAGCAATAAAATTAGTACTAATTTTAGCTACCCACAGCTGGCCCCTGCTGGTTGGCGCTGTCTCAACTCAAATTATAATAAAAAATTGTGTTCCACAAAAAAATCTATTTTAATTATAGTGACAACTGGTGTAGCTATAATTGAAGTTGATTATTTTAATTTTCAGAACCAATTTTGATAAAATTTCTATAGCACTAAACTGAAAATTGTTTATTTGTAAGGATAAAAATCAAGAATGTTTCAAATCCGTTTAGAAATGAAGGAGTTCTGAGATAATAAATATAAAAAAAATACAACCGATTTGAAAACCTCCTTCTTTTTGAAGTCGGTTGAAAAAGCGGATTTTTTGCTATATAGCATTGCATAGTTACAGATGTATCTATATGTATAGAATAAAATCAACAATTCAGCACAAATCGGCGCGTTTAACGAAATCGCTTCCCATATTACGCTACCCCAGAAAGAGTCTCCACTCCAGTAAAGGTTACATAGACTGTTATTAGCTGCCCCTTGCCGTTAGGCCAGCTGATCCTCTCGACTGTATCAATCACTCGAGCCTTCGTATGACTGCAATACCAAAGGCAGTAGAGGAAAGGTCTCCCGGGAATGCCTCGGTAGGGAACTCGTTCCACTGCCTGCGAGTTCGCGGGAGGAAACTCCTCCAAAACCACACTGTATACAACCGTATAGATTTTTGATGGATTACCTCATTTCAAATGCCATTTCCATATTTTCTTTTAGTAAAAAAAAACCTATTACCAATCCCATTAAATCTCATTTTATTGCTCGCAACTATATTTTGTCATTAATAAACATGTTTAACCTGTGCCATAAAATGCGCAGTGTCACACCATGATGGAGATATACGGCGACAGTGTGATTCATCTAATCGAAGAGTTTGGCACGAAGGGAGTCTGCCAGAAGATCGGCTTGTGTAGCGAGCGCAACGCCGCCTACGTCCACATGTATAAGGACAAGGGAGATAAGAATTAACTGTAAGTGTCCACTTTTTTTTATTGCCGTGTGACCCCGACATAGAATGGGCCACCCCTTCTTTCCCCGTAGGGGTTGTAAAATGCGCTAAGAGAACTTAATGGTCGAGGGTTAGGCAGTAGCGTCCCTCTTAATATACCACCAAAGCCTAACTGCGGTTGCCAACCCGCCTGTCAAGTTTAACAAATACTGTCAAAACCCTTCTTATGAGGCTATGTTCAGCAGTGAATACTTAACGGTTGATACAAAATGCTCAGGTTTATAAATGTCTAGTCTGTACATGTGACTTTTTTATACAACTTAGAATGGCAAACAGACAGCCCACCTGATGGAAAGTGGTAACCGTCGCCTATAGACTAGCAGTACCATGGACATAACAGAGTATACTGTTTCGCCCACAATATCCCCCATGCCCCCCCCCCCCCCCCCCCCTTAGAGCTTTGAGGTAGGTTGTGGTGGGTAAAACCACCTTTTGCCATCCTTGAGGATTCATTTTAGGTGTTATTCCTGTTTAATTAGCATTGACCTGTAAATTCTATTATTTTGTAAAAAGACTATTATTATTATATATTAGACGATTAGTTGCCATTTCATTTTGTTTAAATAAAATAAGGTATGGTGCAAATGTAAATTGAACTGCAAATTTTATCTATATATTTTTTTATTTCAGAATTACATCGTTGGGGAATTAACAACACCATATTCGATATTATAATCTCTATTTTAACTATAATTTCGTTTGTAACTATTTACCAAATCTCTCTAGTATGTAAGTTTCATTTCATTTAATAATGTAACTATTTTCATATGGAAAAGAGAGTTGTAAACCTTGATAGTCGCGGTTAAGAATTAAGAAGCGTGTCTTAAATATGTAAATCATTAAGAAAATGCTTATAATTTTTATATAAAAAAAGGTAAAATATTGAATGAAAAATGTTGGTAACTGTACTTATGCGTTTGCAATAAATAGTCTCCAAATATTGCGTTAAGGGTTTTTTGTGCACGTATTCGAACATTTATATTTTACGTAATATTTAAACATGCTAAACGTGTAAAATGTAGCTCATTCTGTTTGCATGTAATTCCATAGTTAACACACGCTAGCCTGTGATAACTTGATTTGTAAAATGTTTCTATAAATAAAGTTGGGAAAATTATGTGGCGTTTTATTTGAATTTTTTGTACAACTTTGGCAAACGGGCTAACCGCCCACCTGATAGATGGTAACCGTTGATTGAAATCGTAAGTTTTATGGAAATGGACTATTTGACTGATTTTGGTAATAGCTTTATACCTAAACGACAGGCATTTATTTGACAATATATCTATCTACCTCTGTGATACATTTTATTATGAGTATGTTTGCAATACGGATCGACCCCCGGTTGTGCGATCGTGTTGCCGCTCGGGGCGACTGGTATATGATTAGGGTTGATCAATCGATAGCCGACCACGCTCTTATTTTAATAGTAGTATTTTGCTTGCATGCACTATATACATATATAACTTGTATTCTACCCTACTCTACTCTCTAGCAGGCATCGCACTGCCCGTGTCAAATAGCGAGAATGCGATACCTGAACAAAAGCACCAACTAAAAAACTTGTTTAGAAGCGTGGATATTTTATTATTTATATAAGTATTATCTGTTACGTATCTATATGTTTACAAAAAAAAAAGAATCGATTGTTTACTTAGTATTCATATTGATGTAGCTTTTTTTTCGTAAACTTATAATAGAAAATGCGTTAACTTCATTTTTATATTCGTATTATACGAATTCATTCTCGTATAAATCATCAAAAGTAACCATATTTTTAATTCAACAAACAGCGGAACAAAATCGAATTGGTTGTCAATGGAATATGCAACTGTCTACATCAGTCGATTCGTTCAGAATGCAACACATTCGTGGATATGCATGGTGATAAGGTGATTGATGTGATCAACCAGAAGAGAGATCCTCAACACGCGTGTCAGGCACTGAGGACGAGTGTCGTAACCCATAATATGGAAGGTAATATCAGATCATGAAGCTTCTACTTTTGTTGAGGAATGAAAGTTTAACCATTATTCATTTAAAAATTAAAACATTAAAAATTAAATAGTAACAGTATCGAATATAATATTCACCACAATTGTAACAATCGAATAATGTCTCTTATTACCCCATTAGGGGTTACAGTCGTGAGCCTATTTATTTTGTTTTCTAAAATTATTCATTTCTATTAAATTTCAATCAAAACGGACAAACTGGTGCATATACTTGCATTCATATCAAAATGTAGATTATTTATTCTAACTTAATGTAATATAATTTTTTGTACTATAGAAGAACCTGTAATAGATGTGAAAGAACTATCCGATACATCAACACGATTAGAAAAGTCAAAAGCTACGTGTGAAGTTTGCAAGGTTGTGGTAGATGAGCTAAAAAAGGAGATCAAAGGCAAGAGACGGGTATGTCCTTAACTATATTAACTAGAATTTCCATAAAACTATATATATCAAAGACTGACTATATTTTGTTATGACTTGTTATTTAAAAATGGTTATAACTGGTAACACATACCAGTCTGTGTTGCCAGTTACAATTTTATTTTAAAGAATAATGTGTAATTTCAAATCACTTATAATGAATTTTTCATATCTCTTTTCTTTAAAAATAGAATAAATATTAAACGACTCCGCAATCTCCAATAAATAAGCGACAATTTCAAATATTTGCACTGCTTACAGTTAGAGCAGTCAGATAGCTCAAGACCGTTCCTTAAATCTTATTAAAGGGAGAGGACTGTTTAGCAGAAATTATATTGTTGAATTATATAAAATACTATTTTATATAAAACAGGAACAAATCAAGAATCTGGTTCATAAGATATGCAAGAAAGTAACAAGGTTGGTACGACACGAGTGCCACAAATTCGTGAACAAATATGGTGACCGCGTGATCGATATGCTTCTGAAAAAAATAGATCCAGGACAAATATGCCACAAGTTGAGTCTGTGCCGAGTTGTAGTCATTGATACCGTTGAAAGTGAGTTCATAATAATTTTACTTATACTTACTAATATTATAAATGTGAAAATAAGTTTGTTTGTTTGTCACCTTAACGACTTAACCAGTCACTTTGAAATTTGGTTTACACGTACAGTATGGGGAGGAGAAGGATATAAGTTACTTTCACTTGTCACACGGACGAAATCGCGGATAAAAGTTAGTATACTCATAATGCATGTGTAAATAATAAGTAAGTAAACGCTAGTAATGTTTCTGTTGCTTTGTCCTATAGCAAATATAAATGAACCAATTGACATATCAACACAAACAGAAAGTTCAAAAGGCGCGTGTAAAGTGTGCAAGATCGTAATGGACGAAGTGAAAAAAGAAATCAAAGGCAAGAATGAGGTAATCGTAATGGACGAAAAAGTGAAAAAAAGCAGTTGTGTTTGCATAGCTCAAAGGCAATTTACTGAATGAGGAATGGCAACGCATGGGTGGTATCATTTTTTTATCATATACTTTTCTATAGGCGACGGTTACCATTTTCCATCAGGTTTCAAGTTGTATAAATAAAAATAAAAAAAAAAGAATTTCATAAAAAAATTTTTACCTGCAGTACTTTTGTAATAATTGAGGTCTATTTTACACAAATATAGGATGAAATCAAGAATCTAGTTCATGGTATATGCAAAAATGTACCTAAATTAGTTCGACATGAGTGCCACAAATTCGTGGACAAGTATGCAGACCGTGTCATTGATATGCTTGTAAAGAAGTTGGATCCAGGACAAGTGTGCCATAAGTTGAATCTATGCCAAGTTATAATCATTGATGTCCTTGAAAGTAAGTTCGTCGTACTTACAATTTTGACTTTACTGTATTTAGTAGTAGACATTAAGAACCTATCTATACTTTTTTCTTATAGTAAATATGAACACAATACCTGATGTGCCAATACAGTTGGAAAACTCAAAAGATGGCTGTAAGGTGTGTAAGTTAGTGATGAAGGAGATCAAAAGAGAAATTAGAGGCAAGAATCAGGTATGTTGTTATTTACATTGTCACGCCCGGCTTCGTTCGTAAGCAGAAACAATGGAATACCAAAAACAATAAATTAATGTATTCATGCATTTGATCCTTTTTCCACATATCACATACATTCGACATACATCCGTCTAGGGAATAGTTTCTCAACCTTATCTTTCCCACTGCCCACTTTACCAATATGTTTTGTTTCCCATATTAATTTCACTTATCATCTATTGCGGACTTAAAATAGCTATTGCCACAATTAAAATCTCAAGTCTAAAATTTTCTCTGCATCTTCTATCGCTCCCATAAAAATCTCAAACGCCCACAAGGGGGCGTTGTCGTATATATTGAGATACTATGGTCCACGACGACCTCTGCCAATGTCTCCACTCGTTTGGGCTCAATATCATTTTATTATTGCTTACATTATCCATATTTTCATATGCCTCTACTTTCATGCTAAACAAAGAAACTTGCCGCATGAAGTATACTCAAAAGAGTATACGATTAGCTAAAGACCGCAAGTTTTGGAGAGCCGTGGTGATAAAAGCGACATCCTCATGTGGTCACAATCGTCAGTGATGATACTAATACCTCAATGTTATTTTTTATAAAAACAGGAGCAAATCAAGAATCTCGTTCACTATATATGCAATAAAGTACCTAAACCGGTTCGACACGAGTGTCACAAGTTCGTAGAGAAATATGGTGACCGTGTGATTGACATGCTTCTGAATAAATTGGATCCAGGACAAGTATGCAACAAATTGAGTTTGTGTCAAGTTATATCCATTGATATTGTTGAAGGTAAGGTATATTTCCTTCCTAACACTCACCGAAAGTGAGCCTAATCAATAATAATATAATGCCTTTTATCTCGTAACAGATTTGTACGAAAGATTGGATATGTCAACACAATTAGTACATTCCAATAGCACCTGTGAAATGTGCAAGGCTGTGATAGAGGACATTAAAATGGAAATTAAAAATAAAGATCAGGTATGACGTATATTGCTCTATTGATATCCGACTGTGTACACCGAAATACGGCCTCTGTTTCTCTTAATCTGCCTGCCGCTTCATTAATGCGTAATTAATAATATCATTAGGAATGAGTGATATCGACAAAATGTCGAAAGTAAGTTTAATATGGTTAGTAGTGATAATTCAAATATTAATACTGATAATTTGATATTATCAAAAACAGAATATATAATTGAAATTTTTAGCCTTCATATTGATATTTGTTGATATCGTTAGCGTAATAATAATGATACTTCGATTTTATCAAGAACTAACTATCGAAAATTTTCGATATGAATATTTTAGTCCTTATTATCGATGTTTTGTTGATATCGATAGTGTAATAATAATGATAACTCGATATTATCAAAAAGAGAATATCAAAATTTCTCTATATCGATATTTTTGTCCTTAATATAAATGTTTTGTTGATATCGATAGCGTAATAATAATGATAACTCGATATTATCATAAACAGAATATTAAAATTTATCAATAACGATATTTCGTTGATATCGTTAGCGTAATAAGAATGGTAATCGGATACTATCGGAAACAGAATATCGAAATTTCTATATATCAATATTTTAGTCTTTAATATCGATATTTTGTTGATACTGTTAGTGTATTAATAATGATAAAGCAATATCATCGCAAACAGAATATCAAAATTTCTCAATATCGATATTTCTATAACGTCAATAAGTCACTTTATAATATTTTTTACATCAAAAACATTTTATTTGAGGACAGAATGAAATAAACAAACTAGTTGAGGACATATGCAAAGACACACCGTGGTTGTTTCGGCACGAATGTAAGAAGTATGTACACAACTATATTGACCGTTATATTGACGAGTTGCTGAACAAGCTCGATGCGGAACAAGTGTGCCAGGAATTGACACTTTGCAATGTTTCGTCCTTTACCATCAAAAAATTTAAAAGGTTTGAAGGTAATATTGATATTCAATTAATAATTTTATTTATTAATTAACTTCCATCCCACATTCCACAACCCCTTTATAGGATAATTTTTTTAATGAAATGGTAACTCTGCCTGCGTTATAGATATACGCTGGCTAAGCAGGTCACAAGTGAGAGATGATAAGTGAGAATTAATGTAAAATTGACTCATCATTATGAATTCAACAAGATGGGGAACAGTGTAGAGGTCCACTACTGCACCTTCCCCATAAGGGAAGTTTTGTCAGCAGTTGTTACGCTTGACAGGTGGGTTGGACAGTTAGACTTTTAGAGATGTTTTAAAATCTACTAAGGCATTATCAAGTGCATTATCAAAGATTGCTCTCAGCAACAAGACCGCCTTACTGTACTTATACAATTGTATCGTTATGTTTGTAAATTGTCTTGTTTATTTCCTATATTGTATAATGCAAATAAAGTATACTCATTCATTCATTCATTCAAGTGATGCGCTAATACATATTTTTTTTACCTTATTAGATTCGTAAAGATAATCAACCTACAATGTTAATAAAAATGTATATTTTTATTTAGTGTCACGCCATAGTGGAGATATGTGATAATGTGCTAACCTAAGCTCATGAAGAGGCCACAAAAAACTTCTGTGAGAAGAATGGGTTATGCAGCGATTATTATTTCATAATAAGTATATTTTCCAAAGTATCCTAGAGATAGTAATAATATTATTTTAGAATAAGCACTCATTTTTTATACTATTTTTAAAAAGAATAAAGAGTTATTAAAAATACTGGCCGGTTTTTTTAATTTTTATTGTACTTTCAGATATCTCCAGCGATAATTATGACTAAAATATTTTTATGCCACATAGCCAAACAAGCTGACGACCCACATGACGGAAAATGCTAACCGTTGCCTATTTACATCACAGTAAACATACTGCTACATCTATAATATCTAGAACTCAGCATGCATTTTCACTGTTAAGATTGAAGTGTTATGCCTGTGTTTTTTTTTATGCAATTTAGAATGGCAAACAAGCTGACGGCCTACCAATTGGAAAGTGGTAACCGTCACCTATAGACATGAGCAGTACCATAGACATAACAGAGTATATTGTTTCGCCCATGACACCTCCCATGCGTTGCCATTCCTGAGAACTAAGGTGTTATGCCTCTGTACCCTGTAAAATCACTGCCCACCCTTCAAACCGAAACACAGCCATGCAGACACAATTGCTTCCCGGTTGAAACACGAATGGGATAGAGGTATCCATATAAATCGATTTGTGTACAAAGTCTCCCTATGGTACTTTGTACCCTGTTACTTCCCATCTGCTTAGCAAATGCATCAGGAGTGTGACAGAATTACACCAGATGACAGATTTCCTATTCTAATAAATATTTATAAATAAATAAATTTATTTTGTTGCTGCGGATTCTTCTGATGGCGCAGGGGTGTGACAACATCTGTCTTCTCTTTGCTCTGGAGGCTTTAGCACCAACTCTGGCTCGTTAGGGTTGTGTCTTTGTAAATAATCAGCTAACCAAAGTATCGGCTCGGCGGGACGCTCGTGAGCAAGCGCGGTCAACGCCGGTAACAGCGTCGCTGTTAGATTTTTTTGTATGTAGTCGCTAATTTGCCAATTACGAAGTATCGGTCCCACCACCACTGTAACAAATGACATTACTGAATCCAAAATCACCCAGTATTTTTATAAACTACGACGTTGTCAACCAATGTCACTTGATATTCATCCCCGCCTGTATGGGCAATATCCCATAGATGTTTGCAACACCATGGCTTTTTTAAAATGGGTGATAATGGAATGGTAATCTCGCCAGAGCTAACGGTATACGGTGGCGGAGTACCAGTGAACGATGATAGGAGAGGATGAAAGGCTTGCTTCTAGTTATCTCAGAGTAATGAAATCAATAAAAATTAACCACAATGATTTCCAAAGAGAATCGCGTATACGACGTGTGGACCTGATAGGATATACTATCAACGATATAGCTGTTAGATCTTATTGCTATCCCTTCGCAACACCAATGCCGTTACGTGCGTTAATTATTACGAAATTCTTTACTATCGATAACAATTTTCCAAATAATTTCATGGAAGATGACTCCGCTTTTAAATGTCGTTCTCTATTAATAATATACTGATAATCATCATTTACGTACTTGTAGGAAAAAAGAAGTGTATCTCCCTGAGCGCCTCTGCATAGTTTTCACTTCCGTGCAACCCATTAAAATAGTCCCCATACTTGGTGCGACGTCCGTAACAAGCGCGTAGGCTGTCTGGCCAATACGCCTGTGCCTCGATCACTCTGCACATAGGAAATTATTTCAATAGGACCCTGCTCTTTTTTTTACACAACTTAGAATGGCAAACAAGCTGACGGACTACCTGATGGAAAGTGGTAACCGTTGCCTATAGACATGAGCAGTACTATGGGCATAACAGAGTATACTGTTTCGCCCATGATACCCCCATGCGGTGCCATATCCCAACCTTAAAACCGAAACACAGCCATACAAACTCAACTGCTTTACGGTTGAAACAAGTATGGGACAGATGTTTTATCACTACACAGCAGATGTAAAACATTGATCAATAACGTCGATTGCATATTAATAAAAAGCAAGCAACGAACATCTGAAGGCACAACTCAGAACATCTAAATCTAAGTTAATTTAGAAAAATCGTTTCCTAAATTGGCCGGACCATTAGTCGAACCCCTGCGCTAAATCACTAGAGATCATCATCGTTGGATTACTGTTAGTACCACAACCATTATGTAATAAGGTTTTTTTTTAATAAGTGATACTGGAATGGTAACCCCGCCTGCGCTACCGGTATACACGGACGGGGCACCAGTGATGGATTGGTGAGGATGAAAATGCAGGTCAGTTAGTCCATCGAGACGAATTGACCTGAAATTATACACGACGATTTCCAGGGAGATTGTGTGTAAGTCAACCTGTCAGGGTATATTGCTATATGTTTTCAAATATAAGTCAGTAATATAATTAAGTACTGATATTTTAATATTCGTGTTTCAACCGTGAAGCAGTTGTGTTTGCATGGCTGTGTTTCGATTTGAAAGGTGGGATACGGCGTGAATTTACAGGGTATAGAGGAATAACACCTGAGTCCTCAGGAATGGCAACGCATGAGGGGTATCATGGGCGAAACACTATAATCTGTTATGTCCATGGCACTGCTCATGTCTATAGACGACGGTTACCACTTTTCATCAGGTGGACCGTCAGCTTGTTTGCCATTCTAAGTTGTATAAAAAAAGGGTGTAATATCTAGCAATATCCATATATTGTAGTTACAATATACATATATGTATATTAGCCTAATAACAGATAGATATCAGTTATCCAATAAATAATATCGAAAATAAGAACCCGCTCCTAATGTTATAGACGTCCGACTGGTATGGGCGATATAGCAATGGGTGATCAGTAATGTTCAGAGAAACTCAATATACAGATATCGGATATTCACCTTGCGGGTCCCATAAGGTTGCGCCATTTCTGTATGCAATTTTTCGTTGCAAGCACCAACGCGATGATCGGTCCACTTGACATGTGAGCCACCAAGTGCGGAAAGTGAGGACGGCCGTAGTGGCCTCTGTATAGTTCTGCAGCCTGCTCCGGTGTTAGCTGAACTTGGCGTTTCTTGAAATTGAATTGGAGTTTATAACATCATTGCATGAGAGGGAGGGGGGGAAAGATTGTTAGTAATGCAGACTACCAATCCCACTGCTAGCAATATACGGGAGACTATGTACAAAAGTCGATTGCTTGGGTAATCTGTCCCATTCGTGTTTCAACCGTGAAGCAGTTGTGTTTGCATGGCTGTGTTTCGGTTTGAAGTCGTGAATTTACTGGGTACAGAGGAATAACACCTGAGTCCTCAGGAATGACAACGCATGGGGGTATCATGGGCGAAACAATATACTCTGTTATGTCAATGGTACTGCTCATGTGTATAGGCGACGGTTACCACTTTCCATCAGGTGGGCTGTCAGCTTGTTTGCCATCCTAAGTTGTATAAAAAGAAACCATTAAGCTGAATCCCAGGTGTATTCATCATGATGGGCTAACTGACCTGCCTTTTCATCCTCGAATATCATCCCTCACTGATGCCCTGCGAGCGTTCATCGTTAGCGCAGGCGAGGTTACCATTCCATCATCATCCATGAAAAAGAAACATCATTGTACTTATATTTTTTATAGGCATCCACTATTTAGAGTCACAAGCTGATGTGCTCCTCAATGGAAATTGGAAACCGGCGTTAGTAGACATAAGAATAATCTGCTTAATCTATACCTATAATAAATCTGTAGAGAGGTCAATTCTGTACATGAAATAAATTTCCAAAATAACTATCAGGGCATGATTAGTGATCGATACTGATGCCAAGAATGCAATCAGTAAAATTTTTGTCTGTTTGTCTGTATGTTCCTTATACAAACAAAAACTATTCGACGGATTTTAACGAAACTTGGTACAATTATTGTTCATACTCCTAGGCAGGTTATAGTATACTTTTCATCACGCTGCAATCAATAGGAGCAGAGCAGTGAAGGGAAATGTTGGGAAAAGGGAAGAAGTTACTCTATTTTTAAGCTTCGGTCGCGGGTGCAGCCTTAATGGCTACTTTTTAAAAAGTAAAAATGTCCACCCGTGCGACGCCGAGACGGGCCGCTAGTGGATAATAAAATCCTTTTCTAAAGAAACCAAAGCGTATTAGAATTGGCAAAAAGAACAAAAAAAAATTAAGCCTGCTACTATCACCTACCCTACCATACGCTGTGTGGTCCCGGCATAGAATAGGCCACCCCTTCCTGTCCAGTATAGATATACTGGATCGTAAGAGGCGACTAAGAGAGCGCGAGGGATGGGCAGCAGCGTCCCTCGTACATCTCCAAAGCCTAACTGCGGTTGCCCACCTGCCTGCCAAGCGTAGCGACTATTGGCAAAACCCTCCAAGGCCTATATTCAGCACTAGACGGTTAGAAGCTGATATGATGATGATGACATAAAAAAAGATTAAAACAATGCTAATCAATAGATATGTTATCGCTAAGCCAGGCATGATATAAAACGAGACAGCAAGGCGTCTTGTTCTTTCTCACGCGAGGCCTACTGAAAAAATATCTATCGAAAAATTTATTTACTACTAGCTGTTTCCCGCGACTTCGTCCGCGTTTCCGATGTTTTTCGTAAAATAAGTAGCCTATGTCCTTCCTCACGGTTTTTTTGATGTAACAGACACATTTCCCTTCACTGCTCTGCTCCTATTGATCGTAGCGTGATGAAAAGTACACTATAACCTGCCCAGAAGTATGAAGAATAATTGTACCAAGTTTCGTTAAAATCCGTCGAGTAGTTTTTGTTTCTATAACGAACATACAGACAGAGAAACAGACAGACAAAAATTTTACTGATTACATTTTTGGCATCAGTATCGATCACTAATCACCCCCTGATAGTCATTTTGGAAATACATTTCATATACAGAATTGACCTCTCTACAGATTTATTATAAGTATAGATATAGATTTGTCTACTGGGATTAAGCAATAAGCTATTTCTTCATAATATCAGCTTCATTTCTATTTTCAACTTAAAGAAAGCAGGAGGTTCTCAATTATGTATGTTTGTCACTTCAAAACTCCATCATTTATAAACTAATTTTGAAAATTCGTTTTTTATCTAAAAGGATGTAAGTCAAATTAGTCCCATAGAAATTATCAAAAAAGTCGATTCAATAGTTTAGTGTTTAAATCAAAATAAGTGGTATTTTATGGATCAAAATCTACTATTAAATTACCTTCTATGCAACAGATATAAAAGTTAACAAAATGTCAATAGAAACTATCGACGCCACGTTCTCGTGTCCATATAAAAACTTATTTACCTAATAGGTATATAGGGGGGGGGGGATGGGATTGTTAGTAATGGAGACTGAGAATCCCATTGGTAGCAATATACCTAACCAGGTCGACCTCCTCGTGGTTCTCCTTGGAAACTATCATGGTTAATTCCTGATGAATTCATCATGATGGGCTAACTGGCCTGTTTTCATTCTCATCGATTACCCTTCACTGGTGCTCCACCAGCGTATACCGGTAGCGCAGGTGGAGCTGCCATTCCATTTTCATCCATAAAAAAAAATAGGTATATAAGGGGTGGAGAAGGGATTGTTAGCAATGGAGTTTGATAGCTCCATTGCTAGCAATATGCCCTATAATGTCGACCTCCACGTGGTTCCCCTTGGTAACCATCGTGAACAATTCTTATTGAATTCGTCACGATGGGCTAACTGACCTTTATCCTCACCTATCATCCTTCACTCCCTGCCGGTGTATACCGATAGCGCGGGTGGGGTTACCATTAAAAAAAAAATAGTATATAAGGAATATTAATTTCATAAAACATTCCTGTCTCTAGCAGCGCAGCCCCCGAAACGTCAATAGGAATGCGTAATTACTTTTTTTTATGGTTTCTATAGATAACAGCAGTGACCGCTGAGAGTAGGGGTGCTCAAGTATTTCTATTAGATGTAGGGTTGTCACGCGTTTAGATATTTGTATTTTACATTCAGTACATATAGACAAGTGTTAAATATTTCTATGATACTTAACTATATCTAGCAAGCATGGAACATACAATTGAAGTTATAAATAGATTAATTTATAATAAGCTATTGAAATTTGGAAATTAATCGACCTAGCTTTATGATATTATGTAAAACTAAAATAGTTTTCATTTGACAATTTTTTTCAGAAAATACTGCTTTATCTTTTAAATAATGTAACTGTAAACATACATACATATATAGCTACTATGAAATAAATATAGGCAGGTATATTTTCTGATAGGTACGCTTGTGCGTCGACAGTTAGGTTCGTAAAATAAAATGAAAATTTAAAAAAATAAAGTATTTTGAACGATAATGTTTATAAAGCCATTTTCAATGAACTACTGTTATGTTGAAAGAAACAACTGTCAAAAATATAGACCAGGAGAGAAAGAGAAATTATAGGAAGTTATCAATATGAGTAGGTACTTTCGTAGTACCTATTTCTGTTAAGCAAAATTAAAATGAATTGGCAGTGTAATTCCTGGATACTGTGTAAAATATAAGTCGGCTATGCGTAAATGACATTGACTGATATTGCGGTGTGTGGTAGCCGCGATCCATTAAACGAGCTGTATACTTTCAATATATTATAAAAACGTAATATTTTTATTTTTATTTTAAAATTATTGTTTAAAACAAATTCCCTAATGAATAATCGCCAACCCTATCATAACAAGCGTTGCATGTGACGCGTAATAATGAATGCGCACCCCTTGCGCGCTCCCGTTAGCTCGATTTTGCATATCAACCCTCTCGCGACCGGACACTACTGGACTGAACGCGTGCTCCATCGCATTTTGTGTTATCTCTTTTTAAATATATAGATAAAAGTAAGATATTCAATGTTCTGATATTTTTTTATGATTCTTAGAATGGTTAACAAGCTATTAATATTTGTTCTTGTATTTTTAATTCGAAAAAGAAGGTTTTAAAATCATTTGAGTTTTATGTATTATGATGTCAATTCAGAGATTATTTTCGTAATTCTATGATAATAATAATAATTTATTTACTCGAAATGTGATACAAAGGTCTTAAATGGTAACTGAGCTACACATTTCGCCTTATCTAAAGGCATGCAAATTTTGTCTTAGCACATGTTAGTTAGTTTTTAGTGGCTAACATTTTAAAGTAAAAATTTATCAATTACGTATGTCCAATTAATTATTCTAAATACATATTAATTGTTACATTTAATTAGTTAATTATATCAACATTTAAAAATAATAGATATTATAGTTATAAAGCATTAAAATTGTACATGTCATATTATTAATATTATTACATAAAGTGCATTCTTAGTCTAATCTACCATTCGGACTTACAAAATCTTTTATCGTGTAAAAACATTTTTCAATAAGTCAATTTAGTAGTTTACTTCGGAAAATTCTTTTTATAAATTGATTGAAAAATTTTGGCAAGAGCAAATCTTGCCATATTGAAGCTACAGTTTTGTGAAAATTTGCGGAACAGAACATGGTATTTGTAAAATAACATCTATTACCCAGTTGACGCGCGCCTCAGTATCTATAGATTTTTCAATAGAACTTAATACGATGTATATCTTGCCAGTTTCTTTATAACCTGCTATCTATATATTATAAGCAAATAGTACAATAAAGATCATACAAACAAACTTTCCCCTGATATGTAATAAGTATTAGTACAAATAATAATTTAAGATTGCGTTCCACAAAAAAGAAAACAGACTTCAAATATGGCAAAACCAGTGATTTTAATTTAAAAACTAAACTATTGAACCAATTTTGATAAAAATTCTATGCGAGTAAGCACATTCTTTCAGATATAAAATACATTTTGAAATTAGTTTATAACTGACGGAGTTAGGAGGTACTCCTTCTTTCTGGAGGCGGTTGAAAAATCGATTATTTTCCATTAATAAGTGTTTCGGTGATAATATCAGCAAGCATGGTTATTTTATTTAAATTTTATTGAAACAGAAATTATAAATATTTTCAATATCTATGAAATATTTACTTGTTTATCGATATGAATGTGTATAATGTCACCACAGTCAACCACCATCCTTAAACCGGAATAAAATCATTTTTTTTTATTTAATTATAAAAAAATAAGTAGATGTTCTCGCGTGTCTTTTTAGGCAATGAACGCATATTTACAATTCTCGTAAACTAGTAATAAAAATAAATATACAAATAAAACTGTAGTCCGTGTGTGTACATTTTTGTTACAGTCTAATATCTATATTAAAAGTCAATGTACAAAAGTATGTAAATAAATAAATAAAACTTAAAATATTACGCATGAACGTCTAAAGAGGATGAAAAATCTAAAAGGGAACGTCAAGAGGATTATGTTTTAATCGAATTGCAGCGGTACGGAATCCTCAGAGCATTGATTACGCTCACACTTTACCCGCTTCTTATAACGATGGGCTCCTATCCCATTACGACTGATTGCAAGCGAAACCACTCAATACTAAAGTTCAAAGATGATTAGTTCTAAGTAACACTTTGTTCTATAAAAAAATTACTCTAATTTTGGTAGAAATAAATTGAATTAAACCTACTCATATCCAATCGTAAACTTTCTACTATAAAAAAGAACATCAAAATCGATTCAAAATTAATAGATATATCAAGTGAAATCACTCATTTCTAAAGTCAGTTCAAAGCCAATATTAAAATCATCCATGGTGTTTCGCCACGCATGTGTTGCGTGTAAAGATGTCACATTGTTATACAGGATAAATACTACAATAAATAAACGAGCAAACGACAGCTTACTGTTCTAATAAAGTTATATGAAACCATAAAATTTATGTGGGCCCGCTCGTGTTATGGGGAGATGTCTCGACTTTGCTTATCTATAGTTGTGAGTGAATCAGGCAAGTTACAAGTATCAATACAGGTAGGTATGTCACACTATATGAATCAACATTCCCATTTATAATTTACTAGTCTTTACCCGCGACCTCGTCTGCATATTTGAATATTGTTCGAGTCCGAGAAATTTTTTTGTGCAACCTAGAATCATGGAAAGAGGTAACCGTCGCCTGTACACATGAACAGTGTCATAGATATTACAGAGTATTATACTGTGTCGCCCATGATACCCTTCATGCATTGTCATTCCTGAAAAATAATGTGTTGTGCCTCTGTACTCTGTAATTTCATTATCATATTCCACTCTTCAAACCGAAACACAGCCATGCATACACAACTGTTTCATGGCAGAAACACAAGTAGGACAAACAAAGATACCCAAGCAGACGACATGTATAAAGTCACCCTCTGGTATTGTTAGACCAAGATAAAAAATAGCTTTTGTTCTTCTCCATTTTTTACTGTTGAAGAATTCTAGATTCATCTCGATCTCATTTGATAGAAAGTGACGACATAATCTAATATGGAGCTCGTTGGCTCACGAGTAGCCTATTAACATTTTGTTTAAAACGGTCTAGCTTGCATATGGTTGGAAAAGTATAAGGAGGATGAGAATTCCATCCCATGTACGTGTTTCAATATAATAACTATTGTCAGATCCATTAGAGTGCCAAAAGGTGACAAACAAACTCACTTTTACAATAATAATGTTACTACATACTAATGTTACTAAAATACTAAATTAGTTAACAATTTTAACATGTATTTTGATCATAGTTATTTCAAAATAAAACAGACAAAAAGTAACTCGAGACAAATAATACAGAAACCTATTCAAATTATAGTATATTTTTTTATATGATGATAATGGACTGGTAAGCAAGAATTCATCATCCCCTATCATATGATAGGAATTCGTTTCGTTGATATCATATGAATGAATTCAACAATGAATCCATCACGATGGTTTCTAAAAGGAACCGCGAGGAGGTTGACTTGATATGGTGCATTGCTAGCAATGGCCTCGCTAATCTCCATTACTGACAATCCCTTCTCCGTCACTATAAATATTTATCAATTTCTTTATATTATGTAATGTTATTTCAATAAAAATCTTTCTGTTGTGGACTATCATCAGTATGTAGATTATTTTATAATCATACTACGTATAAAAAAATATTATCGTATGATAAAAAACTAAAAAACTAGTGACTATACATTTGTTATATATATAAATATAAATACATAGAAATATAATTTGTGTCATTATATAACGTTAGTGAGGGATCATTATATAACGTAAGTATGAGGGGATTTCCTTATATTCTCATGGGTATAAAAAATAAAGGGTTTGGTCTAGGACTGAGTCATGAAAAGTAGCTAATTTTAAAGGTAAATTTTAAAATAACATTTCCAAGTTGGTCCCACCATAAACATTTTGGAATATCAACAATATTGCGTTATATAATACCGTCTAAAAATGAGATAATGAAACTTATTCTGAACTGCCATTTCCTTAAACCTATTTTGATTCAAATCTATTAGAAAATGATAATAATAAATAATTTTGATACATATTCTAATATTCTAATTACCAAACTTCTTTAATCAGATCTGTGAATTTCAAAAATAATATTTTTTTATACCACTGAGGTGGCAAACAAGCATACGGCCCAATTGATGATAAGTGGTTACCGTAGCCGTAAAATACGTATTTTTCATTATTTCTTGCTTTCTAATATTTCTAATGATTCCATAAACTATTTTACTACAATAAACGTCTTCAGACTGGACAAAATTAGTATAAGAGCAACACGACAATAGTCTATTGATTGCAAAAAGTATTAACGAATTCGGTGCAGAATCCGATAAAAAAAATGATTTAAATATATATAAAGAATAATAAAATAGTAATGCAATGGGAAAATAAAAAATTAGGGTTCTATCATGACCAAATGGATCATTATGAAAGAAAAGATGTGTATATGTTAGAGATCTATTCAACCTAGAAAGGACTTAGTATGAAGATTAATATTTAGAACATTATATTAATAGCTCTAACCGCTAGTATACTGAATCCATTATTGCGTATATGATTCTCAATATCATCAGCGTCTTCAAATGCTTCTGGTTTGATCACTGCTAGTGTCCGTTCAGAGTAAGCGTGATATTCGGCTTCAGAATCCGATGAGATGTCGGACATTTCAATTATATTATATTTAATTATATTTAGAATATATTAAAGTACCTATTGATTGGATGCGCTGTTTGATAGTTATTCTAGAATGTACGTGTGACATTTCTAGGTCGTATGCCGAAGTTACTAGGGAGGTCGTTAATGTAATTGGAAAGGTTTTATTTATATACTTGCCGTTATTTGTATTTATACATATATTAATGTACTTTTCGTTTCGTACAGAAGGATATATCACGACCGAACTCTATTGCTGAACTCTACCAAAGCTTGAAATACGTACTCTACGCAGTTAATATATATGTATATATATTTTCTATTAATTTTTAAGACGTTAAATTTTATATACATAGAGTATAGCGTACTTATAATCTAAGTTCTAAACCAACTAGATTTCTTCTAATAGTCAATAATATGTCTCTTTAATGTACGACAATATCGATCCTATAAAAATACATGACATTAAGTTAACATATACAGTTATTACCGTGAGATATCGACGCGAAAATACATAAAGACATCATAATCAATTGCATTGGCAATCAAGGAAAACCACGCATTTTCCGGCTGGAGCCACCCGGGCGTCGGTGGGCGACGGGGGCTGCGTGCGGCGCGGCGAGGGGGCGAGGGGGCGAGGGTGCAGGGGCGTCGGGTGGCGCGCGCTGCCGGGCCCCAGTGCCCCCCGGACGCAGTGCCGGCGCGACGCCTCCCCGACGGTTGCACCCGCGACATGCGTTGACCCTGTCTCCCGCCACCCGAGAACCACCGCCGTATACATGGACAACTCTTGCCTCCTTGACCTCCTCATCAGGTGCTTCGCCATGACTGAGCCGGAGGACCTCAACTTCACGGCGTTCACCGACCTCTGTCGGCTGTGCTCCTTGAAGAGTGGTCCTCGGCTCCACATATTCGACAAAGAGTCGGAGCAGAGGCAGATACTTTTCAAGCTTAGAACGTGTCTGCCGACTATGGTGAGTGCTTTGTTAACTATCGACTCCCATTTGTCTTTCAATTTAACTTACTCACTTTATCTTAGCTCCCCAATACAACTTTGTGTTCATTAGTGCTAATTTATATTGTGTTAAATACAGTGTGTGCAAATCTTAAGGTAAACATAACAACATAACAAGAAGAAATTGAGAAAATTGCAATAATTGTGTGCGGTTGCTGACGCGTTTCGTAGCCCGTAGACGCCTGCGCGCTCGTGCTACGACAACAACAAGGAATTGATAATGAGGCCTAAATCACGATACCTGTTGATTTTTTTTTTTTGACATTTCTCTTTATACTACTTTTTTTTTATATTATTGTTACATTTTTACCTAATAATAATCAACACAATTTATTATAATTTTATCTTTTACTAATTCTAACCTCCACCGAAAATTACGTAGCAAATTAAACAATGTACATTAAGAAGGATTTGTTTCTTAACTTCCTTTGAAATATAATGATAACAGTGGATCATATTTCAATTGTTCATTATTCTCACCATCACATCCAATACTATTAGAATTCTAAGAAAATATTAATAACACTGCTAAATAGATTACAAAAATTAACGTAAATATTTTTTCTTCAAAATATGGCTTGTTTACTAAAACATATATTGAATTGATGAGCCTAATACAATACTGTAATACAATTTATAATAAAAATTATGGTTTTTTATCATATTTAATATTAAAACTTCTAATAAAAATACAAATAAGAACTATAAAAAATTAATTTCATTTTATATATTATAAATGTCAATTCCAATACCACAACAATGTAAATAAAGGAGTTGAGTACAATGTATTATTGCAATTATTGTCTATTGAGTCTTTGTGTATTGCATTTGTGTAAAGTGCAAAGAACCGTGCGTAGATCATTGACCCCATAGCCCACGGCACTGAAGTGGGTCAACGTGAGATTACCCGGGAAAACATGGGAAACAGAGGCGTTTGAGGCCACGTGACGTTTTGTCGTGCAACCCCAAACAAAATAATGGTAATAACTACAAAAGTAAAAATTAAAAAATGTACTATGGTACAAATTCAGTGTCCATTTTTTTAATTATATTGTGCAATGTGGACAACAAGGCTGCTTCTTAAAAATTATAATATCGATTTAAATTTCATCGTTATATCTTCTCAATAATCGATAATCAAATTTAATCATATACAATAATTTATCCATTAATTATTTACTCTATAATATTGTATGGTTTTATCATTATGAGGTTAAGAAAGCAAAATGCAATTATATAAAGACGGTTTTAGACTTTTTTGCACGTCCACTAAATTATCGCAAAAAATAAAAAAAAAATCATAAAATTAAGATCGTGTTCAATAAAAAAACCGACGTCAATTGTGACATAACCAGTTTTGATTAAATTCCTATGAGCCCAATCTGTAAATATATGGTTTCAGATAAAAACCATATTTTCCATATTGTTTTACAATTGACGGAATTATAAGGTAACAAAAAAAAAAAAACAACAGAATTGAAAATATCCTTCTTTTTTAAGTCAATTGAAAATTGTATTATACTCGTATTTTGCTCCTTTCATCATCGTGTCATCCCTTGATAAATGTATAAAAGCGCCTGCTGAGCAGAGAGTATTGTAGTATCAAAAACACTGCCAGACTTTGAAATGTTAAATAATAAAATATTCGCACCGTACAATCAGAGTACACTATAAATAATCTCTTTGTCTTACTTCGTAATTATTGCACGAAATAATGTGAGCAATGTTTCTGATTTAAATAAAACTTTACTCAATTCAAACTTTACGTCATCTACTTTAAAGTTTATTATTTATTTCTTCTTTATTGATTATATAAAAATGTTTAATACAAAAGACGACCTTAATACTATAATAGCATTCTCTCACAGTCAACCTTTGGAAAAACAGAAGCGTAATTAGGCGGAGAATAATATAAAACATTAGTGTGGGTAAATAATTTAGACATTAAAATTAGTGTCTAAATTATTAAATAATAAAATAATATATTATTTAATATTTAAATAATTATTCAAACCATACAGCTCTTTTATCATGCCTATCCAATGAGTACACTACACAGTCTCAGAGTAAATATTGTAAAGGAGTGCAAAAAATCCGCCTCGTTTTATTTCATTTACGTGTATTTTCATAACCTGTCACATTATGCATGCAACATTTCGGAAACCCTTGACTTCTCTGATAAATACTAACAATAATAAAGGACAGTATACTAACTATATGCATGTAAGTCACTTGCTTTTGTTGGGGTCTATTTCTGTAACAAAACCTACATGCATGATATTCATAGAACAATAGGCTCTTTGTCCGTACATTAAATAAAGCAAAGTGGCCGTGATTCGTTTAATACGAGCCTTTATCTTTCTAATTACATTATTTACATTAAAAATAAACATGCAACTTAGTTGTAACCTACTTCTAAGTAAATGTTAAAAGTAATAAATTATATACTACGTAAATATAAAACTTAACATATTATATTATGGATTTATAATTTTGATTTTTTAAATTAAACTATTTCTTCTTCTGATTGTGATTTAAAATGAATTATTGAAATACGAATATTATTTTTACTACATTTTAATTAAATATTAGAGCTAGAGTTTTATTTTTATCTGAAAAGATTACTGTGTCGTCTCATTCTAATCCCAAATAGTAATATTATGTGATTAATAAGATATTGGTACATTCTACCATATCAATCAAGCGACGAGAACTTTCTATACCCAGTGGAATTTTGATAAAAAAGAGGCATAACATTCAGTTCGGAAATAAGACTGATGGTACTATTTATTTCTTGTAATTTTTTATATCCTTGCGATGTTTATGTCTAGATTTCCTTATGGTACCGGAATATAATGGGCCATCCCTTCTTTTTTTGTGGATGTCGTAAGAGACAACTAACGGAACTAAATTAAGTTGCCTTAGTCGCCTCTTACGACACCCACGGGATAGGCAGCAGAGTCTCTCTTAAAATATAACCAAAAGCCTAACTGCGGTTGCCAACCTACCTACCAAGCGTGGTAACTACTGGCAAGAGGCTTATATTCAGCAGCGGAAAGTTAATGATTGATATGATGATGAACATGATTTTAATTTAACCACGAGAACTGGATATACATAAATTGGTACGAATAATTGTGACAGTTCAACCCTTATAATTGGAAAGGACCCCTTCTTTTATTAAAAACAGGGGCAAAACGGCTCCATTAGTAATAGATCCTATTAGATCCGCATCTTCGCGATTTTGGAAACCATCTAAATTAATTTAACTTCAGTCTTACAATCATTCTGAAGAATGATTGTAAGAATATGATTAAAAGTACGCTGGCGGGGTACTAATTCATTAGTAACATGACAACGCAGACGAGATGACCATTCTATTTCCATATGCGCCTTATAAATGAATAGAAAATTAGCCTAAAACCGTATACTTACTGGTGATAGTCTAACCAGTTTCATTCTTCTCCAGCAGATCTCGAAGGACGACTTCTTACCGAAGAAGATCTGCGAGAGATGCGTCACTCGACTGGAACAGCTGTACGAGTGGCGCCAGAGCTGCCTCAGCACCGACTCTGTACTTCGAAACTACGCCGAGAGCATGAGGATCGTCACATCTACTATAAACTTTCAGGTTTGTTGAATTTCAATCTTTTTAATTGACAAAATTAAGAGGTTTTCAATTTGACTTGTGTGAATATGCGTGTGCGTGTGTGCGCATGTTTTTTTTTATGCCATTAGAATGGCAAACAAGATGACAGCCTACCTGATCGAGATAGTAAACGTCGCCTATAAAAATTAGTAGTACCATTGACATAACAGAGTATACTGTTTCGCCCTCGTGCGTTGCTATTCCTGAGGACACAGGTATTATTCCTCTGTAATTTCACAGCCATATTATACTGTCCTTCAATCCGAAACACAGCTATGCAAATACAACTGCTTCACGGTAGAAACATGAATGGGACAGAGGTACCCAATCAAACGACTTTTGTACAAAATCTCCTTGTGGCATATTATATATTAGTGTGAGTACAAACGCGCGCGCGCACGCGCCTATATGTGTGTTTAAATATGTGTGTGTATTTGTTAATTATTCATTATAATTATTAGTTACGAGCTTTTATTTGATTAAAATAGTTACTCCTTTGTAATGTTTTGTTAGAAGCATAATAAACTAACAAGTTCCATATATTATTATAGTGTGTGCCTGCAATTTTATTACTGTTGTATCTGGTATATAAATTATTTCAATATGAATGTTCATGATCTAAGGTGATTGAGTCTCGAGATCTCTAGGTATACAAGATTATACTGTATTAAACAAAACATGTAAAACACCATTATCAATCCAAATTAATCCGAGTCTCCATTTAACTTACTTGTATGATATATATTATATAAATATACGATATTTGATAATCATATAACCTATTTCGTCTCTACACCAGTTTAACGAACAGTTAAATGTCTTAGTTATTTTAAACAAGTTTGCCAAGAGAATAATAAATGCTTGCAGACTCTTGCCAGAGTTAAACGAGAGAATATAAATCTAAAATATACATTTTCAGTTCAAAAGCTTAAACGAGTATAATATACTGTGATTGCAGTATTATGAAATACGCTTATTCAAATCTAATATCCATATTTAACTTATAAAATATATTTTATGCAACTTAGATAAATATCTATTCATATAATATCTAATATCTAATCATTGTGATTATTTCGTTTCATTAAAAATTAAAATATAATTTATTTATATACTCGTAAAGCATTTTTTTTACTTATACACAATATTTTTAACCTGCATATTAGTAACTAGTTCAAACAGAGAAGAATTAGTAAAAAACTCTAGTATTGCTCTATATTCTATTGTTGTTGTTTCTCAATTCGCATACCTTTAGGCAAGCAAAGAAACCAATTCTTCGATGTTCTTATTAAGAATTTTATTTTTATAAACTGTCATTTGTAGATTTTTTACTGAAGGTTTCTATGTAGGTTTATATTAAAGAGCGATAAACTGTGATGAGATGCTAAATGATAAAGACACGGAATTTAGAAAATTACAAATAAGAACATTTTAAAAACCAAATATTTATAAAAAATACAAATAATAAAATAAAAGATTCTAAAAGTAAATATGTCACCAAAAGCTTAATACATCCTAATGCAACTCTTATGTAAGTATTTTATAATAAAAGAACCATATTCTCTAATAAAAAAAATCATTTTCTCTGGTATCCATTATCCATAATATATAAACTTTTCTTCTTTTAATAAATATATTATTTTAATACATGTAAAAATTGTAACTGTTTAGTTGATGTTAAATTATATACCCTTGGATAATATTTTGTTATCTTGACTCGATCAATAGATATGTGAAGCTTACCGAAATATAATCGGTGAGATAACCATTCGATTATGATTGTGGCAACTTTTCTATTTATTACTGACTAGCGGCCCGTCCCGGCATCGCACGGGTGAACATTTTTAACATTTCCCTTCATTGCTCTGCTCCTATTGATCGTAGCGTGATGAAAAATATACTATAACCTGCCCAGGAGTATGAAGAATAATTGTACCAAGTTTCGTTAAAATCCGTCTAGTAGTTTTTGTTTCTATAACGAACATACAGACAGACAGACAACAGACAGACAGACAAAAATTTTACTGATTGCATTTTTGGCATCAGTATCGATCACTAATCACCCGCTGATAGTTATTTTGGAAATATATTTCATGTACAGAATTGATCTCTCTACAGATTTATTATAAGTATAGATTAAAGTCACTTAGTAACGATACTCAATACAATGATATTATAACAGAACAATCATTGACCAAATAAGAATTTTTAATCTGTAAAGATAGGTACTGTCTCAGTACTACAGTAATAGTATAAATACCAAAAATAATTAGTAATAATTTAAATGTTCATTTGTTTGTTTATTATTTACGAAATTTATCGTTATGAGTTTTGATATACGAAAAACACGAATAATATAATACACAAGACATTTAGGTATTTAAGATGAGAAAGGATATAGACTTATATATATATATATATATATATATATATATATATATATATTACCATTCCATCGACGCAATCCGGTCGCGTGGATGCTGACAATATCACGAATAAAAGTTAATAACAAATAATGATTATATATAAATATAAAAATATGTAAAAAACGCTTCCATGTGGTCCCGGCATAGAATGAATTATCTCTTCTTTTCCCGTGAGTATCGTAAGAAGCGACTAAGGGAGCTTAATGGCCATGAGATGGGATGTGACGTCCCTCTTAAATCATTACCAAAAGCTAAACCACCTGCCAAGCATGACAACTACTGGGAAAATCTCCCAATGGTAAATGGATACTACCATAAGGAACGGCCCCGTTCGTTATGACAGACTACCTATATGGGAAGCGTATGCGTCAGCAGTGGGTATATAACGGCTGATATGGGGGCAAGAAGGGATTGTTAGTAATGGGGATTAGTAGTTCCATTGCTAGCAATATACTTTATCAGGTTAACCTCCTCGTGGTGGGGGAAAGGGATTGTTAGTAATGGAGACTGAGAATCCCATTGCTAGCAATATGCCCAACCAGGTCGACCTCCTCGCGGTTCCCCCTGGAAACTATCACGATTAATTCCTGATGAAATTATCATGATGGGCTAACTAGCCTGTTTTCATTTTCATCTATCACCCTTCACTGATGCTCCGCCAGCGTATCCCGTTAGCACAAGAGGGGTTACCATACCATTTTCGCCCATCAAAAAAAAAACCTCGTGGTTCCCACTAGAAACCATCGAGATTGATTTATTGTTAGATTTGTCACGATGGGCTGACTGACCTGCTTTATCTTCATCTATCATCCCTCACTGGTGACCAGCCAGTGTATACCGATAGCGCAGAAGGGGTTACCATTCCATTATCCATTAAAAAAAAACGGCTGATATGATGATTATGATGTTAATGAAAAAAACTCATATAATTAATAATGTGTAGATAAAGCTAATGACTCTATTATCGCGAGTCTAAATCGTTATTAAGACTAGAAAACTGCAAGCTTCTGATAAATCCTTGAATGGATGTATGCCATTACTCGTCGTCTCACAGTCTTATTCACTCAGCGGGGCTACATTTTGGCGTTATCCTAGTATATAAATTGTTACAAATATCCAGTATGTTAAGTAGTTATATTTCTTTTTTTTCATGTTGTTAATTAATAACTTTTTAATTTGCTCTATGATTTATATATAACCTATTAGTAATTAAATAATTATTGCCCTATACCTACTACGATACCTTTATAAAAATGTTAAACTTAGATATCTACCTACTATTTTATAATTGATGTCGTCCATGTTTCTTAACTAAACCTGACTAGCTTTATTTTTTTATTATTTTTATTAGTAAATCCAAATACAAGTTACTAAGTATCACTTATTTCATTAATACCTAATTAAGGTTTGATGAAAAAAAATCTCTTATTAGAGATAAGCTCGCCTTTGTACATGGCTTTAAAAATTAAATGCTATTATCATTATATTTGTGGACAATAAAGAACAATATTGCACCCAAATGCAAGTGTCAGTATATATGGTATTGTGGGTATTACTTTATCATGCTGTAATGGCTGAATGGAGTTGAATGAGATCTGGTATACTGATAGGTCCTACTCTAGATCAAGACTACTCCTTATTCTAATTTACGCGGGCAAAGCCGCATTAGACAACTAGTTTTAAATAACTAATTATACTTGCAGTAAATCTGAGTATTAAAATCAAAGACCCTCATTTTAGCAAATAAAAGCACTTAAACATGAAATATATCATGGGAGTGTGTCGGCACGCGGCGCCGCTTGGCGGACCGTGCACAGTGTCTCACAAAGTCTCCCCTCTCCTCTATTGATCGTTGCGCGCCTGGAACATATCGACCCACTCACTACCACCCACCACCCACACTATCCACATACGAATCTCAACCTTACTTCGTCATTATAAAGTTGAAAACACTAAACAACAACATTCAAATACAATAGCACCGTTCACACGATTTCGAACCCAAGAAAAACGGATCACGAGTTAATGTCGAACGTTTATATTTCATCTTCAAACGGCGGCGCGTCTGGATAATGAATTATTTGCCTTAATGCTTGAGTTATAAGGTTGTCATCGATTCAGGATGCGCAATACGGCTATTGGAATCGGGATATTAGCTACGCATGTCCGCAGACCGCTTGTTTTTATGACGCTCGTTTAATTTTCGAGTACGGAAATCTTCCATCGTGGCATGATAATTGATTTTATGAACTCTGTATACATAATATGTTACAGTATTAACATACACGTAAAATGATTTAGCAAATAGCGAAAATGTTACTCGCTTCATCTAGATAAAAAAATCTCGACGAAATTGGTATACGACTATGTACATAAAAATAAAACATAAGCCGCGACATATATTTCTTCGTTTTCTAATTAAAAATAATTGAATAGCTACCTTTTTAAAACGAAATCTGAAAGATAAAGTTCGTTTTTCAGATTTCGTATTGTAATGCCTTTATAAGAAAGTTTAAAATACAAAGAGATTTTCAATAGCTCGAATCACATTACATA